CTCTCTCACAGAAATGTCAGTCCGCCCTCACCTCACCTCCCTCACAGAAATGTCAGTCCGCCCTCACCTCACCTCCCTCACAGAAATGTCAGTCCGCCCTCACCTCACCTCCCTCACAGAAATGTCAGTCCGCCCTCACCTCACCTCCCTCACAGAAATGTCAGTATAACTGGAAGATTCTTGTTTTTCTTAGAGGCGAGATACTTATTCCGTCGCTCCCTGTCCCTTTGCGTTCTCTGCATCACTCCCAAGAGCGAAAGAGATATTTTTATCCCTTCCATTCTTTTGTCTCACGAATTTTCAGTGCCTCGATCCCTCCCCGACAAAGTCCTCCCGCCCCACCTTCCCCCTCCCCCCCAACCGTATTTCCTCAGTACCAACCTCCTTGTGCCCCCCCCCTTCTCCCCCTTTCCCCCCCTTTCCCCCCCTCTCATCAGCCTACATATTCTCTCGCCTCGACGTCTTCGCCAAGCCACCACCACCAGCACCCGCGCATTCTCTCAGTCTCTGCAATACCTTTTCCTCTCCCCCCCTCCCAAACCCCCCACACCACCACCAGCACCCTCTCTTCAGCCTACATATTCTCTCGCCTTGACGTCTTTGCCAAGCCACTCGCCTGCCTGCCCAACCTGCAATCGCTGTGAGTGCAGGACAGACGTCCAAGTCATTCCAGGTCATTCCTGGTCATTCCAGGTCATTCCAGGTCATTCCAGGTCATTCCAGGTCATTCCAGGTCATCCCATGTCTTCCCACGTCTAGCATCCAGGCCATTCCAGTTGCGCGATCTCTTTCCGACTTAATTGGCTCTTTTCTCCTCTTCTGTCCATTCTGTGTTCCTCTCCTCCCTTCCCTCCTCTCCTCCCTTCCCTCTACCACCCCATTAATCTTCCACTTCCTCGCCTCCCGTTTTTTTCTCCCTCTCGTTTTTGCGCCTTTTCTTTTTACTTCTTATGATTCCCTGATTCATCCTCTCCTTTTCCTTCCCTCCTCACACCTCTTCCCCCCACTCCCCCCTCCACTCTCCCCCCTCCTCCATTGACCTATGTTGGAACTCCCTATACGGCCCCATTCCACCCTACCTCATCAACCACCCCATCCTGTTCAATTACCGCATCTCCCCCCTTTCCCGTCCCTCCACTTCCCCCTTCTCCCCCTCGCCAGTGACCTATCTTGGAATTCTTTATACGGCCCCATCCCCTCCTACCTCATCAACCACGCCACACTCACCAAGCTATGGCTCTTTGACAACAAGCTCAACAACCCCATTCCCCCCCTTTCCCATTGCTGTTTCCTCTTTTTCCCCTTTGCTGTTTTTCTTCTTTCTCCCCTTCCCCGCCTCTCCCCTCCCCCGTCTCCCCTCCCAGGGACCTGTCTTGGAACTCTCTATACGGCCCCATTCCACCCTACCTCATCAACCACGCCACCCTCACCAAGCTATGGCTCTTTGACAACAAGCTCACCGGCCCCATTCCCCCCTACAGCACGCGCCTCTCCTCCCTCCTGCTCTTTAAGAACTTCCTCACAGGGGTCTTTCCCCTTCCAGCCTCCCCAGAACCCGACCCGCTAGCCCCTGCCCCGTCTCCTGCTCCCGCCTCCTCTCCCTCCCCTGCTCCCGCTGCCGCTCCGTCCTCGTCCCTCCCAGCCCCATCCCCCTCCGTCCCCTCCCCTTCCTCCTCCGCCTCCCCTCCTCCACCTCCTCCCCCTTCCCCTCCTCCTCCGCCCTCTCCTCCCCCTCCCATCCCCTCCCAATGCGACGTCAGCGGCAACTGTCTGTCCTACACGGGAAAATACACGGGCGCATGCAAGGGCCTTCCCAGAAGCTTCATGGTACAGCGGAACCCTATGTTCTGCGGAGCGGCGGTGTGCGGTGGGAACTTAACTAAGTGTGAGGCGGAGGGGAAAACGTGCATGCCGGTGTATAGCCGCTGGCCGCCGAGCAGTGTTCAGCCGTTGGATCTGGCGCCGAATCCAGGGTGGATATGCGACGGGTGCGAGTGGGGGCTTACTGCTGTGAAAGGCACGACCAGTTGTGGTGAGTGCTGATTTTCTAAACGTTCTGGGTGTCATCTAGGGTGTAACATCGGCTGTCATATCGGGTGTCACATCGGGGATGTCATATCGGGTGTCATATTGGGTGTCATATCGGGTGTCACATCGGGGGTGTCATATCGGGTGTCATATGGGGTGTCATATCGGGTGTCATATTGGGTGTCATATGGGGTGTCATATCGGGTGTCACATCGGGGCTGTCATATCGGGTGTCACATCGGGGGTGTCATATCGGGTGTCATATTGGGTGTCATATGGGGTGTCATATCGGGTGTCACATCGGGGGTGTCATATCGGGTTCATATCGGGTGTTATATCGGGTGTCATATCGGGTGTCATATCGGGTGTTATATCGGGTGTCATATCGGGTGTCATATCGGGTGTCATATCGGGTGTCATATGGGGTGTCATATCGGGTGTCACATCGGGGGTGTCATATCGGGTGTCATATCGGGTGTCATATGGGGTGTCATATCGGGTGTCACATCGGGGGTGTCATATCGGGTGTCATATCGGGTGTCATATCGGGTGTCATGTCGGGTGTGATATCGGGTGTCATATCGGGTGTCACATCGGGTGTCATACAGGGTATCTCTGGGCGCAGGGGGCGAATTTCTCTCGCATGTTTTTTATTCTGTCGCTGGTGCTTGTCTCCACTCCTTTCCATTAGTTTCTCTTCCTCAAAAATTACTTTCAGTTCTCCCCTCTTCCTCACCCTCCCCCTCTGGTCATATCTCCAACCACTGCTTCCTTTGCTGCATATTTGTTAGGCACCTAAAATTCAAACAAACCCCTGATTCCCCTGCTCCTCCTACCCGTGTGTCTACCCAGTGGCTTGCAATCAAACCACAGGGGCAGCTTGTTACAACTCTGTCACACAGCTTGTGTGCCTTGGAAACCCAACAGTGGTGGCACTGCCATAAGATGAGAACGGTTGAGTGCAATCAGTGGGCTTTGTGACCCCAATGGATTCATTCAATGTCAATGATAGGATTGGATGTACCTGCTACCATGCCATGACATGCCCTGCACTGCGAGATGTTGAAATTCAGAGAAAATAATATTGCAAGCTACTGGGCTGGGACTGGGCTCTATAATTCAAAATATAGCGAACTGCATGATTGTGTTGTGAAAAGGCTGTGCCTCTTCACTCTCAGGAGGACCCATACCGTATTGAAACAGGCTTCAATCAAATCCAGTAGAGAGTACATGTCGACTTTGTTACTTATTAGGACATTCAGTTACAACAAACTTCTCACGACACACAGGTGACAAACACTTCTCAAGCAAGACATCACTACACTAGGGCAAGCTGACAAGAGGTGACAAGTTACGGTACAACCCTTCACAATAGTTGGCAAGAAATAACATTCTACACTGGGTCTCTCTCTATTGAGTAGAGGGGAGAAGGGGTCTCATTGAGTGGAGGGAAGAAGGAGTCTCATTGAGTGGAGGGGAGAAGGAGTCTCATTGAGTGGAGGGGAGAAGGAGTCTCATTGAGTGGAGGGGAGAAGCCCTTTGAGTTTGAATCGAAGCATGTGCAGATGACACAATAGCATGCGCAGCCGTCCTTGTCATCCTACCGAATGCACCGGATCGAGCGGAGAGTCATAGGTGGGATGTCCCTGGTATATAAAAACAAGGGGAGGATAGAATTGCGAACACTAGAACGAGTCAGGTCAGCTAGGTTCTGGGTCGAACCTACTTTTCTATGAGCAGAGAGTCATAGGTGGGATGTCCCTGGTATATAAAAACAAGGGGAGGATAGAATTGCGAACACTAGAACGAGTTAGGTCTTCTAGGTTCTGGGTCGAACCTACTTTTCTATGAGCAGAGAGTCATAGGTGGGATGTCCCTGGTTCAAAAAAACAAGGGGAAGACCCCAGGATAAGACTACTAAGAAAGTGTGATCTTTGATGATTGGTGCAGAAAGGGAAGTGGAAAAGCTGTGCAAGCGTGAGCATGGGAAACGATCGATCACTCACAGTACATAACCCGCATGAGGGGTTCCGCCGGAGTTGTCGAATTCACTCGCGCCTTTACAGTTATCGGTTGCGTAGTTTTTGAAACTGCGGCAGCTTGGAGCGTCGTCGATGCCGTCAACGATATACATTGTGGTGACCTTCCCAACCACTGCAGCCGGGATTTCAGGTTGACGCGAAAGGTGTAGGGTCGAGAAGATGCATCCTCGGCTTTTCGATTCGCGATGAAAGTGGAGCTGAAAGAAGAGACGGTGGACCGTCCACCTGAGAAAGGGTGGCACAACAAGGAAGGATTTAGCGCAATGTTTGTCTGCACCTTCATGCATTCCCACATTCGTAGACACCGTCATACATATCGTCATACATACATACATACCCACATACATTCATGCATGCATTGCCACATTCCCACAACTTAGAGCAGCATCAGCCGTTCAGCCAACCTGGCAGAGCGAGAAAGGTGAAGCAAAGAGTGGGGCGAGAGGGGAGAGGAGGGAGTGGGGAGAGAGGGGAGTGGGGCAAGTGTTGACAATGGAGAGTGAAGAAAGTGCGAAGAGGAGAGGGTGGAGAGTAGAGCGAGCATGCATCAAACAAACTCACCCTCAACACACTTGCTCGCGGTTATCCCAAAGCCTTTAGGGCACGTGCAGTAAGGCACCTGCACCGAACTGTTGAACGTCGCAGGCACCGTCTTGCAGGTGGCTCCAGTGGGGCAGGCGCCACAGGGTGAGTCTGAGGGGTGGGGATGGGTGCAGTGCGGTACGTGAATGCAATCTTAGTGGGGGATTGAGGCTCGAGAGGGGCAGGCGTCAGAGGGTGAGGCTGAGGGGTGGGGATGGGTGCAGTGCGGTATGTGAGTGCCATCACTCGTGGGGTCTTGAGGCTCCGGAGGGGCAGCGCCACAGGGTGAGGCTGAGGGGTGGGGATGGGTGCAGTGCGGTATGTGAGTGCCATCGCTCGTAGGGTTTTTTAGTTGCGGAGGGGCAGCGCCACAGGGTGAGGGTGAGGAAGGCAAGGGATGCAAGGGAGAGAGGGAGAAGCAAGGCAGAGAGGGAGAAGCAAGGGAGAGAGGGAGAAGCAAGGCAGAGAGGGAGAAGCAAGGGAGAGAGGGAGAAGCAAGGGAGAGAGGGAGAAGCAAGGGAGAGAGGGAGAAGCAAGGGAGAGAGGGAGAAGCAAGGGAGAGAGGGAGAAGCAAGGGAGAGAGGGAGAAGCAAGGGAGAGAGGGAGAAGCAAGGGAGAGAGGGAGAAGCAAGGGAGAGAGGAGAAGCAAGGGAGAGAGGGCGAAGCAAGGGAGAGAGGGAGAAGAAAGGGAGAGAGGGAGAAGCAAGGCAGAGAGGGAGAAGCAAGGCAGAGAGGGAGAAGCAAGGGAGAGAGGGAGAAGCAAGGGAGAGAGGGAGAAGCAAGGCAGAGAGGGAGAAGCAAGGCAGAGAGGGAGAAGCAAGGGAGAGCGGGAGAAGCAATAGGAACGGCGGGAGAGTATGAATGAGGGGTGGGAGTGAGCGCAGTGGATGGCTGTTGGAGGAGGTTGATAGATGAACGGTTGAATTGAGTTGAGAGTAAGAGAGCGGGAAAGACATGCTCACCCCACTGGCAAGAACAGCATGCTCACTCACCCCACGGGCAGTAGCGCTCGCCGTTCCCATCCACCACACAGGTGTTATGAGTCAACACAAGCTGAGAAGGCATGCTCACTCACCCCACTTGCAGTAGCGCTCGCCGTTTCCATCCACCTCACATGTGCCACCAGCAGGCTCACAGCCCAACGCCGCACAGGCAGGATCTGCAGCAGAGGGGAGAACAGAAAGGGGCAACAAACAGAGATATGGGAATAATTATGGATGCCATGAAGAGGCAACGTGAAGGGGCAACAGACAAAGATATATGGGAATGATTATGGATGCCATAAGGCCATCGGAATGACGTAGGCTGCGTTTGCATCCCTAAGTCAGGATGGTGTTGCTTTGGACCGAAAGACGCTATTATCAAAAGACGCTATTATCAAAAGACGCTATTATCAAAAGACGCTATTATCAAAAGACGCTATTATCGACAAGAATTTATTTGCCATCAGTAAGGCACCCGATTACACCCTCCCGAAGACAAGGGGTTTGGAATTACACATAGTCCCTGATAGGGGGTTCCCATTCTAGGTGACTTTTGAGTCGACTCAAAAGTCACCCTCTTGAACACAAGGCGTTCCGAATCGCACAAAGTCCCTGATAGGGGGTTCCCATTCTAGGGCGAAGCAATGAACGTACCGGCATTCGGCTGTGGCTGCTGTGGCGAATCTTCCTTCTGCTGCTGCTCGGGAAGAGCACAAAGAACAGATGCCACGGAAACCCCCTTCTGAAGCTGCTTCTTTGTGCTTGGGAACCTGAAGAGCATGGCAAGTGGAAGCACAAGAGACGACAACATGCTCATTATTCCCTCCCCTCTCCTCTCCCCCCTGCCCCTCCCTCCCTTCCCTCCCCAAGTCACGCGCCGCTCGTGTCCTCTCGTCGTGCCTCACACACGCCCGCACCAACCTAACCCACAGCCACACATAATTCTACACTCGCATGCCACCGCTGACAGCCTGACACGGACCACCCTTTACTCACTTGGCCGCAGTAGTGTTCGGGTTGACCATGCTGTCCATCTCCTTGCCCTGGCAGCCGCGTTTTCCAAACACCACCCAACACTCACAACACTCACACACTCCCCAACACTCACAACACTCACACACTCCCCACCACACGCAACACTCACACAACCACCACCACTCAACTTGGCCGCAGTAGTGTTCGGGTTGACCATGCTATCAACCTCCTTCCTTAGTTGGCAGCCGCGTTTTCCAAACACCACCCAACACTCACAACACTCTCACGCCACCCACCATACCCACCACCCTGTACTCACTTGGTTGCAGTAGCGTTCGGGTTGACCATGCTGTCAATCTCCTTGCGCTGGCAGCCGCGTTTTCCAAACACCGCCCAACACTCACAGCACTCTCACACCACCCACCATACCCACCCACCACCCACCATACCCACCAAACTGTACTCACTTGCCCGCAGTAGTGCCCGGGTTGACCATCCTGTCAATCTCCTTGCCCTGGCAGCCGTCCTTTCCGAAGAACTTGACCTGTGAGCACGCGACACCTGTCGCCTTGTCGCCCGAATTCGCTTTGCTCGACAACTTAGGGCCGTTCCACCACACCTGCGCGTTCCTCTGCTTTGTGGCCTTCTTAGGCACGCTCGCGCAGCGCTGCTTGCTGAAGCTCAGCTGCGCAGGTCCCAGCACAACCGTTGTGGTAACGGGCAGCACGGAAACCCCACTGGTGCTGCCAGCGGTGCTGCGGCCGGCGCTGGTGCTGCCAGCGGTGCTGCGGCCGATGGTGCTGCTGCCGGCGGTGGTCTCTAGCGCAATCCTCACCGTGTCTTCTCCATACGCGGTTTTAAGCATGCTACGCAGTGCCATGCGGTGCGTCATGCTTTTCACCGTGTCGTCTCCATGCGCTGCCGCCATCATCTGAACTGCTGCAGCGGACGATGGAGAGGGTGTGCGGAGAAGAGAAGAGAGGCCGATATGAGAAAGGAGAGCGCGCAGAGAAGAGGGGAGAGAGAGCAGGAAGGAGGGAACAGTGAGAATGGCACGAAAATCTAAGAGCTTACGGAGCTACGGCAAGGGGCTGACCATAAGTAAAGAAATTGCAGCAATGAGAGAGCAGCGGACTGACCGGCGATGAGGGCAAGGGCGAGAAGCAGGAAGCCGGCAGGAAATGCGCGCATTGTCCTCATGATGATGCCGGCGGGGGTTCCGCGGGAGTGGCGGCGGAAAAGGCGCGGGAGAGATGCAACAAGCGAGCTTGTGCAGTGACGTGCGGTTCACGTCGGTTTAGAGTGCGGAGTGTCGGTAAGATAGGTAGAATGAGGGGTACTAGGCCAACGCGAAAATAGTACAGTGCGAAGACAGAACCAGAACGCGAATGGTAGAATTACAGATATGGAATAATGAAACGCTTGCTTCGAGAAGTGTAATTTATGTTGCGAAATACGATCATGGGCCAAGCGTGATAACCGCTGCACCATGGCGAATCCTAGGAGTGAATGCTTAGCTCGAGTCAGCCGCTGGAAACGATAATAATGTGAAACGTTAGGAACGCGGTATGTGCTTAGCTCGCGTGAGTTGCGGGGACGACTCCCTAATCTGAATATAGGAACGCGATCCAAGCGACTGGTCGCCTGAAACGGACGAAATGGACTAGCCTTCGCGAACCAATGGCACAATGCCGAGGCCTTCCAGCAAGGCCATTTCAGATTGTGGCGTATAATCGAGTTAGCGTGGGAATTACACGCGAGGAACCAGCAGTTGCATTATATGCTAGACTGCTTGTTGGTACTTGGATGTGACGCGTTCAGAAGGCTTGAGCCTTGGGATTGGAGGAACTACTAGTGAAGAGTTCTAGCGGAATACAGTGAACGGTGGTGAGACGGAGAACAGTTTTTTCAGTACGTAGTAGTATGAAAGTGTGACATGAAGTTTTTTTTTGCTTACATGACCCCTCTCTTTATGAAATAAGATGTACACAGCTGAGTGGGATTACGTAGCGCTACATGTAGTAGTTCTTAGGGTGGGTCCAACAATGTACGTATTCGCAGAGAACCCTACCCAACCATGTGGCTCCTTAATTAGACCGCTCTAGCTCAGGTCCAAACCTTTTTCAACCCCATTCGGATGTACTCTTTGGACCCGCCCTTTGATTGTGATGTGTGTATTATGTAACACTGGTAGCTTGTTACGTATCAGTCAAATCCAGTAAAGACTACAGTAATTATAAGAACTACATGTAGTAGTTCTTATGTGATTGTGATGTGTGTAAACAGGTCTCAATCAAATGCAGTAAAGACTGCGGTAATCAACTTCTCATACACAATACCTTATAAGGTACATTCAGACAGCTTCACAAATAACTTTTCAAGCACGACAGCCATAGGACTGGCACAAATGTTGGCAAGAAAGAAGGTTCCACGCTGGGTTTCCTCTGAAACATTCTCACTGAATCTCCATTGAGATGTGGGGAGAAGAGTCTTCATTGAGTGAATTGGAGGAGAGAATAAGCATGTGCAGATAAAGGCTTGTCATGAGTGGAGGAGAGAATAAGCATGTGCAGATAAAAGCACAGCCAACCCATCCAGCTGTCCTAGTCATCCTACTGAGTGCACCAGATTGAGCGCCAAAACGGCCAACGAGGCGGGGTCCTGGTTAATGGTAACAATGGTAGGGCAAAGATAGGGTAAGATAAGACGACAGAAAATGATTGTCTTTGGTGATTGGTTCAAAAAGGGAAGTGGAGAAGTTGAGCGGGTGCGAGGGGAGCGCGGAAAACGGTCAAACACTTACGGTGAATCAACTGCAGAAAGCAGCGGCATGGGTTCGGAAGAATATCCAGTATCACTAGCGCCTTCACAATTGTCGGATTCATCATAGAATTTGTAACTGGAGCAACTTGGAGCATCACCGGTGTTTAGAACAGCAGACGATGTGGCACGCACCCCATCCAATGCTTCAGGGACCCGGGTGCAGTTATTCAGGTTATAGCGGAATGTGAGGGGTCGAGAAGAGTTGTCCCTGGCTGTTCGATTTGCGATGAATGTGGCGCTGAGAGAACAGACGGTGGGAGCTCCACCTGAGAAAGAGTGGCACAGGGAAGGACTCAGCACGTTGCTCGTCTGCGCGCATATACCATCAACAATCATACATGCATTACCATCAACTTTAAGCAGCAGCATCTGGTCACCCAAGATGGAAGAGCGAGAGAAGTGAAACAAGTGTGGGACGTGTGGGGGAGAGGAGAGGGTGGGGCGAGAGGGGAGAGGAGGGAGTGGGGCGAGAGGGGAGAGGAGAGAATGGTGCGAGAGGGGAGTACGGCGAGTATTGTTGAGAGAGGATAGTGGGGAGAATGCGAAGAGGAGAGGGTGGAGAGTAGAGCGAGTAAACGTCAAACAATCTCACCCTTAACACACTTGGTCGCGGTTATCCCATAGCCTTTAGGGCACGCGCAGTAAGGCACCTGCACGGCCAATGATTTACAACCACAGAATCTACCTTGTGTCAGTGCACTCACCCTTAACACACTTGGTCGCGGTTATCCCATAGCCTTTAGGGCACGCGCAGTAAGGCACCTGCACCCCACTGTTGTCACTCGCAGGCACGGTCTTGCAGATTGCTCCAGTGGGGCAGGCGCCACAGGGCGAGTCTGCAGGGTGGGGCGGGGTCGGGATGGGTGCAGTGCGGTACTTGAGCGCATGCGCAGTAAGGCACCTGCACTGAAGGATCGTCAGTCCCAGGCACGGTTTTGCAGGTGGCTCCAGAGGGGCAGGCACCACAGGGTGAGTCTGAGCGGTGGGGATGGGTGCAATGCGGTTTGGGGCACCAGAGGGGCAGGCAGCACAGGGTGAGGGGGAGGAAGGCAGAATGCAAAGGGAGACGCAAGGGAGAGGGAGGAGCAAGGGCGAGTGCGGTGGGTCTGGAGAATGATGGTGGAGGAGTGAGGCTCCAAAGAAACGAGCTGTTTGGGAACCCGAAAATGAGAATTCAGGGCTTAAGGTCTCAAGAAAAAGAAAATTCAGGATTAAGGTCTCAAGAAAATGAGAATTCAGGGCTTAATGTCTCAAGAAAATGAGAATTCAGGACTTCAGGTCTGCAGGAATGCTGGTGGAGGAGTGAGGCTCCAAAGAAACGAGAGGGAAAGGAGGAAGGCTGGCAGGAAGACAAAAATCGTGCACTCTCACTCTCATGGGTTGGGAGCATGAGGTTGGAAAAGTTGGCACTAAGCAGTTGCCTCAAAATATGTACAAAGGCATGAGGAATGGGGTTGGTTGGATGGCACGGGGTTGATAGATGATTGGCTGAGCTGAGTTGAGAGAGTGGACAAGTGGGAAAACCATGCTCACTCACCCGCACTTGGTTGACTTTTGAGTCGGCTCAAAAGTCAACTCACCCCACTTGCAATGATGAGTCTATTTGTGAGTCGACCCAAGCAAAGCAGGAAAGGCATGCTCACTCACCCAAGCAAAGCAGGAAAGCAGAGGAGAGAGGGCTGCGAGAAAGCATGAATCAGAGGAGAGAGGGCTGCGAGAAAGCATGAATCAGAGGAGAGAGGACCTCACTCACCCCAGTGGCAGTAGCGCTCGCCGTTCTCATCCACCACGCATTTGCCACCCGGTTGACAGCCCAGCGCGTCACAGGGAGCATCGGTGCAGAGAACCGAGGCCAGTGGCGCCCACTTGCTGAGCGTCTTCTTGTTGCTTGGGAACCTGAAAGGGGGTGGCGTGGCAAGAGGAAGCACAAGAGATGGTAAACATGCTTATTGTGTTCCCTCGCTTCCCCGCCCTCCCCCTCCCCTCCCATCCCTGCCCCTCCCGTCCCTTCCCCTCCCCTCCCCTCCCTGCCTCTCCCTTGCCCTCCCAAAATCATCCACTGCTCGTGTCTTCTCGCCGTGCCTCACACACGGCCATGCAACCAAACAAGCACCCCCACCACTCACTTGGCAGTAGTAGAGCCCGGGTTGACCATGCTATCAAGCTCCCTGCCGTGGCAGCCACCCTTCCCAAAGAACTTGATCTGCGAGCAAGCGAAGCCTTTCGCCTTGCTGCTCGACCCCCCCGGGCCGTTCCACCACACCTGCGCGCTCTTCCCCCGCGCCTTTTTCGGCACCGCCACGCAGCGCTGGCTGCCGAAGCTCACCCGAGCCTTGCCCACAGCCACGGTTGTGGCAAACTGCAGTGGGAAACCCCCACCGCTGGTGCTCCCACTGCTGCTATCAACAGTGCTGCTGGTGCTGCGAGCGGGGCTGCGAGCGGGGCTGGGAGTGCCGTCAACGATGCTGCTGCCGCTGGTGCTGCCGGTGGTGCTCCCAGTGCTGCTATCAACAGGGGTGCTCCCAGTGCTGCTATCAACAGGGGTGCTCCCAGTGCTGCTATCAACAGTGAGCGGGGCTAGGAGTGCCATCAACTGCAGCGGGGAACCCCCACTGCCGGTGCTGCGAGCGGGGCTGGGGGTGCCGTCAACGATGCTGCCGCCGCCAGTGCTGCCGGTGGTGCTGGTCTCTAACACAACCCTCGCAGTGACCTTGCTGCTCGCTGGTTCCGCCAATGAGTCTTCTGCATTCTTCTCTTCTCCTGCTCCATACGACTCTTTCAGCATGCTGCGGTGGGCCGTGCGGTGAGTCATGCTTCTCACAGTGTCGTCGCCATGCGCTGCCTTCATCATCGGAACTGCTGCAGAGGACAAGGGAGAGGATGTGCAGCGAAGAGAAGAGAAAGAGCAGATATGGGAGGGCAGAGAGGAGATATGATAGGGCAGACAGGAGATGTGAGAGGGCAGAGCAGAGATATGCGAGAGGAATATAAAAGGTTTTGCAGAAATGAAAGAGAAGACAATGAGAGAGAAGCGGACCTGACCGCAGATGAGAGAAGGCAACGATGAGAGAGCAACAGACTGATGAGCAGAAATGAGAGGAGGACTGACCGCAGATGAGGGCAATGGCGAGCAGCAGGAGTCCGGCGGGAGAGGCGCGCATCGACCCCATGATGCTGGTTGTCCCGCGGAAGAGGCGGCGGAAGAGGCGGCAGAAAAGCCGGCGGAAGAGGAGCCAAATAAGTTGCCGTTCCAAATGTGAGCAAGTTGGCCCTCCGGCGTATCACAGGCTCTTTCTTGAAGCTGGGAAATGAAGGACAGCCTGGCCTGAGCGGAAGGATGGCCGAGTACTATCGTAGAACAAGCACAGAAGCGGAAGGAGAGTCGTGGAATGAAAGGGATGGAAGAAGGGAACTTGCTTTGGGATCTGACGGAGCTGCACTCGTGATTTATGATGCGAGTTATGAGCGCGAGTCGAGCATGACAGCTGCAGCGCCATCGCACTACGATGAGTCATCGTCGGCGTCGCGTCGGTACTATCGTAGTGAATTATGGATGTGGACTTTTGAGACTTTCTCAAAACACAGCCGCCGCGCCATCGCACTACGATGAGTCATCGTCGGCGTCGGTACTATCGTAGTGAATTATATGAACGGGGTATGGTGAGCTGCTACGACGATAGCCCTAACCTTGAGACGTCTCAAAACTCGTCGCGCCATCGTACTAGGATGAGTCATCGTCGGCGTCGCGTCGGTACTATTGTAGTGAATTATAGGAACGGGACTTTTGAGACTTCTCAAAACTTGCAGCGCCATCGTACTACGATGAGTCATCGTCAGTGTATACACTATCGTAGTGAATTATAGAAACGGGATGTGGACTTTTGAGACTTCTCAAAACTTGCAGCGCCATCGCAGTCATCGTCGGTGTCAATACTATCGTGGTGAAATGTTGGAACGGGATGTGGTGAGGTGCTACGACGATAGCTCTGGCGATTACTGTACTGTACTACTATTTTGGAACGTGGTGTGTGCGACAGCTTTCGTATACATATTTGACAGAAGGGGTTCAAAAACTTTTGAAAATTGAAAGTTTGCCTGTGAGACCGTGAGGTGACTTTCTAAACCCAAAACCTGGATGACAAATGTATACTTCAGCTTTAACGGAGGGCCGTTCATCCGTCAGGCACAAGGTTCTTGGATCTATGAAAAACAGGAATTGGGGGATGTGGTGAGTGAGCAGCGACGACGATGGCTCTGGGGATAACTTATAGGGAGGCCATCCCATTCGTCAGGTACGCAGTGCTTGACTCAAGTGAATCGCAGGGACGAGTAATTCGTCTGAAATGCGAGTGCAAAATATCAACGACCAGAATGCGACTTTGTCGCAGATTGAAGCGAAGACAGCTGCCCGTCTTATCTGCCGGATAGCCGGCCATTTTAGGGACGCGTTCCAGTAGGACTTCGTGATTCTAGCCAGCCAGGCCAGACTTTCGTCGCGATCAACCCAAAGTGTTGCTCCAAGCCGGTGTTTCCAGGGGTTCTGAGAAATTGGGATTGGTTTGAAGGTTAAACGCGGAAACTAACCGCGAGTGTCGCAGATCTCGCAGAGAGCCTGGCTGGCGCGTTACACTGACATCAACACCTTCACGAGTGGTGATTGGAACATACGTGGCCAATCGCATTGGCACCACATCATTCCATCCTATCCGCTCAATTCCCAAATCCTTCCCGGTAACACACTTCGCGCACTCTTCGCAAGTCCTAAACCTTTGTTGATATCTTCGCTAGTTTCGGCAACCAGCATTCCGTGATCCGCCACGCCATGCCCTTGGTTTCTCCACAATTCAGTCAGGCAAGTCGTCCCTCACAAGCAAATTCGGTCACCAAGAAATCCCCAACCGCCAAGCAACTAGCAACCGACAAATCACACCCTCTCGAAAAAAAGAAAATATTTGCCTTCATTACCTCTGCTTTCCTTGTTCTTCCATTTCCAGTCCTATCATCTCGCATTCGTCGTTCATTTGGACAAAGACTTTGGTCCACCCTCGTTTTTTTATTGAGGCGGGACCGATTTTCCAGTTTACCAGTAGGAAGGAGCGATCTTGCTTGCTGTTGCTCTTGCTAAGACGGTGGAGTGGTATCAATCTTGCCTAGGAGTTTTGGGCTTTACGGAGCTGAGTTTTTGCAGAGATTTCTGCTCTAACAAGTGGATCAAGTTTTTCTTAACATCGTAGGTTCCGCTATACTTTTCGCATCAGATTGCAAGCTTTTGAGATTCTCTTAAAAGTGGATCAAGTTTTGTAGCTTTGGAATTGTCAAGCCTGCTCTGAGTCGGTGGTTTTCCGCAGCCTGATCGGCAATGGACGGCGGTCACGGCGAGGGGAACGCGGGGGGAGAGGGATCTGGGCGCGGAGCACGGGGAAGGGGTGGTCGGGGGGGATCTCGCGGATCTGGGGGAAGGGGAGGTGGATTCGGCGGAAGGAGCGGGGGGTCTGGCGGAAGGCGTGGGGGATTCGGACATGGACATGGGGGAGAAGAGGCGGGGGCAGGCAGGGGAGATGGCGGGAGAGGAGACCGGGGGATGGGCCGAGGGAGGGGGAGAGGCGGACAGGAAGGGATCAACGGGCAGTCAGGAACCCAAACTTCATCTGCTAAGAACGACACGCAGCTGCCTGCATCGACGGCTGCTGATACGAGTGCGGGGGTTCCTGAATCCGCCGTTATAATCAACCCCGCTACTGTGACGACGCGTGAAACAGCGTCGTCCATCATCGCTACGGCGAAACGAGTCGTCGTGGTCACCTCGGGAGGATCGGGATTGCGCGCTGATGGTATCGCGGAAGCTGCAGAGGATGACAAGGCGGCGCGGAAGAAGAAAAATAAAAAAGAGAAGAAGGAGATGAAGAAGATACAGGCGAAGCAGGCGGAGGAAGCAGCCGGAGTAGCGAAAGAAGCAATTGAGCAGCAGGCGCGAGCCGCGGAAGCTGAAAGGCCAGCTGTACTGGCTGAATCGACGGACGCTGCAGAGGAGGACAAGGCGGCGACTCCTAAGGCGCCTCGAAAGGCTGAATTTCAGGAAGCTGCAGAGGAGCATACTAAGGCGGCGACTTTTATGACGCCTCAAAAGGCTGAATCTGCGGAAGCTGCAGAGGAGGATAAGGCGGCGCGGAAGAGGAAGAAAAGAGAGAGGCAGAAAGAGAAGAAGGAGATGATGAAGATGCAGGAGAAGCAGGCGGAGGAAGCAGCAACAGTAGCGAAAGACGCAATTGAAACTAAGCCGCCTCAGAAGGCTGAAACCTCGGAAGCTGCAGAGGAGGACAAGGCGGCACGGAAGAAGGAGAAGAAGAGAGAGAAGAAGGAGAAGAAGATGCTCGAGAAGCAGGCAAAGGAAGCAGCCAGGGTAGGGAAGGAAGTTTCCGATGCGGCTACACCGTTCAAACCAGAGTCAATTCCGTCCAAATCAGAGTCGATTCCGTCAGTATCAGAACCGGTTCAGTCAAATCCAGAGCTGATTTCGTCAAAGCAGGCTCCTGGAGCTGGAAACTCGACGGATCCAGTGGCGCACGCAGGGGAGGGGCAAAATGAGGTCGAGAGGAAGGAAAAGGAGAAGCAGGAGAAGAAGAAGCAGAAGAGGGAGAGGCAGAAGGAGAAGAAGCAGCAGCAGCAGCAGCAGCAGGGAGCGAGTGGAAGTAGGACTGACAGGCAGCAGAGAGGTGGCGGTGCTGGTCCCTCGATCAAGCATGGCTGGGATGGGACTGGTTTAGGGTTTAATACTCCCCCACCTAGTGGTTGGGGGGACGCAGCATCCGTGAGTGCAGAGGGAGGCTCTGTGAGTGGAGGGGGAGGCCCGGTGGCTTCTGATTCGGTTCAAAACGCATCTCAGTGGGGTGGGGTGATTCAACCCAAAAGTCATCTGTCTCGGTTGAGTGGGGTTCTGTGGCGCCCAGTAGTTGGGATGGGAGGACCTGCGGATCAGATCGGACAGCTCAGGCGTTTACCGGGGCTGGCAATAGCGAGGACAGGGGGAAGGAGAAGTGTTTTCGGGGGTGTTTCGCCCCGCACTTGCCGCTTGAAGTTGCCAAGCAGAGGATTCAGGTATGCCTTTCATGCGTGAACCTTTATTGAACCGTGAGATTGATAATCCAGACTGTGTTTTACCCTTTACGTGCTTACGGGTTTTTTTTCTTCAGGTGTTCATTTGCCTGCATTATTTTCCTGCCCAATACTCTTTTTGTTTGTTTTTTTCTTTTTTTGCTGAATTCGTGCCATTGTCAAGTCCCATTTCTTTCTGTTCCCTTCCCATTTTTTTCAGGATGGCACAGTCTTTGCTGCATCGTTCAGGGTCAACGCGCGGAACCGATTTGAGGTGAGTTCACTCTGTTTGCAAAAGATATTGAAAGCCACATGCACGATTCAGTGCCATTTTTGAGACGTCTCAAAAGAACGGAACTAAATATGAGGTGAGCCCACTCTGTAACATATTGAAAGCAAGGTGCACGGTTCATAATTCATCCCGTTGCTGCTGCATCGTTCACAGTTGGGCTCTGTGTGCTGCTCTTGGTTTTTCTAAGATATGATTTTTCAGTTGACTTCAGAATCCGTTTCCGTTTTTTTTTGTGCCTTCTGTGATGCATGTTTGCGTACGCTTTGACTGGACTGACTTGGTGTCTCTTCAGGCATATGTGACTATAGAGGGAGTTCCTCGGGACGTCCTTATATTCGGCCTCAAGGCACAGAACCGAGCAGTAAGAGCCTTTGACCAAGCCTTTTTTCAGAAGTGTTGAACTTATTTGAAATTCTTGTCCGTTTTCAGTGTTCAAGCCTTTATTTCTGAAAATGAGTACTGCTCCATCAAAATGAGTCATTTCGCTTATCTCCCCATGCTCCTTTTTTCTGCCACTCAAGGTTTAGGGTTTTCATTTTTTAAATGAGTCAACTTAGTCAACTCATTGAACTCGTCTATCTCCCTGAAATGAGTCAACTTAGTCAACTCATTGAACTCGTCTATCTCCCTGAAATGAGTCAACTTAGTCAACTCATTGAACTCGTCTATCTCCCTGAAATGAGTCAACTTAGTCAACTCATTGAACTCGTCTATCTCCCTGAAATGAGTCAACTTAGTCAACTCATTGAACTCGTCTATCTCCCTGAAATGAGTCAACTTAGTCAACTCATTGAACTCGTCTATCTCCCTGAAATGAGTCAACTTAGTCAACTCATTGAACTCGTCTATCTCCCTGAAATGAGTCAACTTAGTCAACTCATTGAACTCGTCTATCTCCCTGAAATGAGTCAACTTAGTCAACTTATTGAACTCGTCTATCTCCCTGAAATGAGTCAACTTAGTCAACTCATTGAACTCGTCTATCTCCCTGAAATGAGTCAACTTAGTCAACTCATTGAACTCGTCTATCTCCCTGAAATGAGTCAACTTAGTCAACTCATTGAACTCGTCTATCTCCCTGAAATGAGTCAACTTAGTCAACTCATTGAACTCGTCTATCTCCCTGAAATGAGTCAACTTAGTCAACTCATTGAACTCGTCTATCTCCCTGAAATGAGTCAGCTTAGTATCTCCCTGTACCTTCACCTTGCTTTGCAGGTTGAAGGCGACACAGTCACAGTCGCAGTGGAGGTAGATCCACCGTCATCAGACCCCAGTTTTCCACTCCCATTCCCTCCACTACCGCCTCACTGAAATGAGACGTTTTGATCCACCCCTGCGTGTCTGCGCTTCTTGCCTGCAGGTTGAGGGCGACACAGTCGCAGTGGAGGTAGATCCACCGTCGTCGGAACCCGGCAATCCAAATGCTACACAGGAAGGCAATTTGGTGCAAGGTAGTACGGTGGAAGAGGGGCGAGGATCAGGGGTGAGAGGAGGGGCAGGAGGGAGGGGAGGAGGGGAGAGGGAGGAGGGGAGTAGACAAGGGGGGAAGGCGGAGGCGGTAGATAGGCTGGCACGGACAGTGAGGGGGAACCCGGATCTGCGGCTCACAGGGCGTGTGGTGGCGATTGTTCATTGGTCGGCGCGGAGAGAGGCGGTGGTGGGGCGTCTGGAGCTGCTGCCGGCGGCTGGGGCGCAGATTGAGAAGGAGAGGCAGAGGCAGCGGGCTGTGGAGAGGAAGAAGCGAGTGGGGGGGAAGCAGCAGCGGAAGCAGCAGAAACAGCAGAAGCATCAAGAGCAACAGTTGCCAAAGGAGGGGAACATGAAGGGTGATGCGAGTGGGGATCATAGCGGTGGGGATGAGATTGAAGAGGGGGAGGTAATAGGGGAAGAGGAAGAGGGGGAGGTGGTTAGGGAGGAGGGGGAAGTGGTTTAGGAAGAGGGGGAGGTGATTGGGGAAGAGGAGGAGGGGGAAGTGGTTGGAGAGGAGGGGGAAGTGATTCTAGAGGAGGGGGAGGTTGTTGGGGAGGAGGAATCGTTATTCCTGTCTATGGAAGCTGGTGCAACTGAACCGTCTGCTTCTTCTTCTGAACTGGATCCTGCTGCTGGTGCTGATACTGCCCCTGCTGGTGCTGCTTCTCCTGCTGACGCGCCTGCTCCTGCTTCTGCTGCTCCTGCGGCTGCTGATGCTGCTACTGCTGCCATCGCTGGTGGCACCTGTGACAGTAACGGAGGCAGCACAGCTACCACAGGGAACGAAGCACAGTCGGCAACGCCAATGCCAAGTTTTGCGGACTTCGGTATAGTCACGTTCACTCCAGTGGATCCTCGGTTCCCGCGCATGCTAGTCCGAGTTAGTACCCTACCCAAGGAGATTAAAGACCTCGTCTTAACAGCTGCCGCTGTGCCTGACACGCGTCAGAAGGCCGGCAGCAGGAGGACCAATAAGAGCAGCCCTAGCCTTGCACCAATAGAAGAGGCTGCTTCTGTCGCTGCTGATGCTACGGATGCGACCGGGGCTGATGGGACTGAGTCTGTAGCGAGTGTGACTGTAGCGGAGACAGCTGTAGCAGCGTCAGTAGCAGCCGCAGATGAGGCGACAGGAGCAGCAGCAGCAGCAGCAGCAGCAGCAGCAGCAGCAGCAGCAGCAGCGGAGGTGAGGCAGATGCTAGTAGCGGCCAGGCTATCCCGCTGGTCTGCAGGCCAGTTCCTGCCCTTCGGTATAGTCACACAGAGCCTGGGGCCGGCAGGGGACGCTGAGACTGAAACGAGGGCGATTCTGGCGCAGTTTGGGATCCATGGGGCGGATTTCTCGCCAGAGGTACTAGCAGAGTTGCCTTGTGGGGCTGGTGGGACGAGGGGTGATAGTGATGGTAGCGGTGGTGATAGTAGCGAGGGTGCTACTAACGAGGGTGTAAGCAGTAGTGGCGTGGGCGGGAGCAGTGGCAGCAGCGGCAGCAGCAAGGGGGGCAGCAGCAGCAGCAGTGGCGGTAGCAGTAGCAGCGGGTGGAAGATTCCAGCAGAGGAGATAGCAGCTCGCAGGGACTTTCGGGGCCAGCGGGTGTTCACTATCGACCCTCCCACTGCGCGCGACCTGGATGATGCTCTCTCTATAACGAGGATAAGGGCTGGGGGGGCTAAGGGGAAGAAAAAAGGAAAGGGGAAGGAGAAGGGGAAGGGGAAGGGGGGGTTAGGGAAGGTAGAGGGGGAGAAGGCAGAGGAGGAGAGAGAAGAGGAGGGGAAGGGGGAGAAGGAGGGAGGAGAGGAGGAGGAGGAAGAAGAGGAGGAGGAGGAGGAGTTGTACCAAGTGGTCGTTCACATTGCTGACGTGTCATACTTCATACCGCCTGGATCCGCACTAGATGCCGAAGCCGCCCGGCGGTGCACGACAGTGTATCTAATCCAGCAGGCCATGCCGATGCTCCCCCGCCCGCTGTGCGAGGACCTCTGCTCGCTACAGCCGGGGGTTGACAGGCTGGCGTTCTCGGTGGTGTGGGATGTGACTGTAACGGGGGAGGTGAGGAGGCAATGGGCGGGAAGGTCTGTGATTCGTCCGTGCGTCCAGCTGGCATATGGGCATGCGCAGGAGATGATTGATGGGAGGTTTGGGGGAGGGGAGGAGGTGGTGGGGTGGGGGCGGGAGGAGCGGGAGGGGAAAGTGGGGGAAGTGGGGGGAATGGGGAAGGACGTGAGGGAGGAGAAGGATGATGAGAGTGGGATTGGGAGTGTGAGTGAAGGGGGGAGTGAGGGGGCGGGGAGCAGAGGAGGGGGCGGAGAGGGCGGAGGAGGCGGAGGGGGCGGAGGGGGAGGAGGCGGTGGAGGGGTGGGGAAGCTGGACGGCAGAGTGAACGAGGACTGGCGGCCAGTCGTATACGGAGGCCACAGGTGGCACGATGTGATTGGAGACGTGCTGGCACTGCACCGTATAGCGCAGAGCCTGAGGAAGGCGAGGGAGGATAGAGGCGCTCTGATGCAGCTGCAGACGTCCAAACTGAGATTCTCCTTCGATGCTGAGGAGGAGGAGGAGGAAGAAGATTCATTGATTGTGGGCAGTGGGGATGTGGACGTGGGTAACAACGCCAGCAACACCAACAGCAGCAGCGGCGGCGGCGGCGGCGGTGGCAGCAGCAACAGGTGGAGGCCTGTGGCGGCAGCGGTGGCTCCAGCGACAGCAGCAGCGAACCACCTGGTGGAGGAGCTCATGCTGCTGGCCAATACCACCGTCGCCAACATTATTTCCCGCGCCTTCCCGTCCGATGCACTGCTCAGGTAATGTGTTGTGCAATACCTCTTCTAGCGACAGACAGCAGCAGCGAACCACCTGGTGGAGGAGCTCATGCTGCTGGCCAATACCACCGTCGCCAACATCATTTCCCGCGCCTTCCCGTCCGATGCACTGCTCAGGTAATGTGTTGTGCAATACCTCTTCTAGCGACAGACAGCAGCAGCGAACCACCTGGTGGAGGAGCTCATGCTGCTGGCCAATACCACCGTCGCCAACATCATTTCCCGCGCCTTCCCGTCCGATGCACTGCTCAGGTAATGTGTTGTGCAATACCTCTTCTAGCGACAGACAGCAGCAGCGAACCACCTGGTGGAGGAGCTCATGCTGCTGGCCAATACCACCGTCGCCAACATCATTTCCCGCGCCTTCCCGTCCGATGCACTGCTCAGGTAATGTGTTGTGCAATACCTCTTCTAGCGACAGACAGCAGCAGCGAACCACCTGGTGGAGGAGCTCATGCTGCTGGCCAATACCACCGTCGCCAACATCATTTCCCGCGCCTTCCCGTCCGATGCACTGCTCAGGTAATGTGTTGTGCAATACCTCTTCTAGCGACAGACAGCAGCAGCGAACCACCTGGTGGAGGAGCTCATGCTGCTGGCCAATACCACCGTCGCCAACATCATTTCCCGCGCCTTCCCTTCTGACGCCCTCCTCAGGTATTGCTCCTTGCTCCCTCTCGCCTTCCTCTCACCTTCCTCTCGTCTTCCTCTCGCCTTCCTCTCGCCTTCCTCTCGCCTTCCTCTCGCCTTCCTCTCGCCTTCCTCAGCAGCGAACCACCTGGTCGAGCAGCTGATTCTGCTGGCTAATACCACGGTTGCCAACCTTATAACCTTACCACGGTGGCCTTCCCCTCCCACGCACTGCTCTGGTAATGTCCAATGAGCCAGTGTGTTAGAATGTCTAAACCAGAAACCATAAATCAGAAACCTTAAACCCATAAACCATGAACCATCTGTTGGAGGAGCTGATGCTGCTAACGAATACCATTTTTCATCTGATGTAGCCAACATCATTTTTTCGAGCCTTCTCTTCGCAATGCCCTCCTCAGGTGTCATCCAAGAGGCCTGCATAATGGAATTGCAGTTGCAGGCGCCACCCCGCTCCAAACGCCAAGAAGATGGGCGATTTCCTTCGATTAGCCTGCAACCTGGGCGTTCTTTCGGCAGAGTTCATGTGCCTAGCTCATTCTTAATCTCTCCTGTGCTGTGCCTCCCCCCTTCCCCCCTTCCCCCCTTCCCCCCTTCCCCCCTTCCTCCCCATCTCCCTCTTGTCATGGTTTGAGTCGACTCAAAACACAGCTTTCGGCAGAGTTCATGTGCGCTGCTCATCATTGTCTCTCCTGTGCCTTCCCCCTTCCCCCCTTCTTCCCCACCCCCCCTGTTCCCCGTGCCCCCATACAGGCGCCACCCCCCGCCCAACGCCAAGAAGATGGGTGATTTCCTGCGCTTCGCCTGCCAGCAGGGCGTGCTTTCAGCAGGCTTCGTGTGCCTTGCTCATCAACATCCTCCTGTGCCTTCTGCTCCCGTTCCCCATACAGGCGCCACCCCCCGCCCAACGCCAAGAAGATGGGTGATTTCCTGCGCTTCGCCTGCCAGCAGGGCGTGCTCTCAGCAGGCTTCTGCAAGAAGCTGGTGCAAGAGTGCCCGGAACTGAAGCAGCTTATAGCGGGTACAAGCGGGGGGAAAGGGCCAGGAGGCTTGGAGGAGATAACAGAAGGGGAGACGGAGGGGGCCGGGGGTGGCATGGATGGAGTGATACCGTCCAAAGTGCTAAGTGAAATACTTAACGAGGTGGGGCGGGCGGTGGAGGATCCAGGGGAGAAAGCGCTGCTGCTGCTGATGGCTACTAAGCCCATGCAGCTGGCTCAGTACTTCTGCCGAGGCCAGTGGGGTGGGGATGATGGTGATGGTGATGATGGGGATGATGGTGGGGATTGTGCATATGGTGGGGACGACAATGATGGGTTTTTCAGGGGTGGTGGATTTCGGGGAGGTAGATCTGGGGGAGGCAGGTCTGGGGGAGGTAGATCTGGGGGAGGCAGATCTGGCAGGGGAGGTAGGTCTGGGGGAGGTAGATTCGGGGGAGGTATATCTGTGGGAGGTAGTTCTGGTGGGAAAGCAGGTACATCTGGTGGAGAAGGCGAGTGGACGTCTCATTACGGGCTGGCCCTCGACCTGTACACGCACTTCACCTCCCCCATCCGCCGCTACGCTGACGTCATCGTGCACCGCCAGCTGGCGGCCGCGCTGGCAGCAGAGGAGAGGCTTATAGCGAGGATGGGGCTGAGCAGCAGTGTGAAGTGGGAGAAGAAGGGATTGGGTGCAGGAGGGGGAGCAGGAGCAGCAGGAGAGGCAGGTGGGGCAAAAGGTGAGAGGGGTGCAGCAGAAGGAGCAGGAGGGAATAGGCATGAGGTGAGTGGCGATATCAACGTTACGCTGCTGAGAAAGCTGACAGGGGTAGCGGCTGGAGGTAGAGTGCTCACTGCTGTGGGGGATCCTCTGGGGCTGCTCGCAGGGTGTGGCGGGAGTGGGGCAGAGGGGAAGGGAGAAGGGACGGGAGAGGTTGCAGGGGAGGGTATGCAGGGAGGGCGCGGAGGAGGGAGAGACGGGGGCAGGAGAGGAGGTAGAGGAGGGAGAGGAGGGAGACGGGGAGGGAGAGGACGGGGAGGAGGAAGGGGAGGGCGAGGAGGAGGAGGAGGAGGGGGTGGAGAGGCGAATGAAGACAAGAAGAACCTGTTACGTCGCGAGCTGGTAACCGCAGTGCGGCACGAGTGCCAGCTGGTGCACAAGGAACGAGCGATGCCGCCCGCCGACGCCGTCGCTGATGTGGCGACGCGGTGCAACGAGAGGAAGCTCGCCGCCCGATACGCGCAGGAGGCGAGCGAGCGGCTGTTCCTGTGCCTGCTGCTGCGCCGCACCCAGGGGTGCCTTTCCAATGCATGGGTGACCGCGATTGGGCCGCGCTACATGAATGTCTACATTGAACGCTTCGGGGTGAGTGGGGTAAGGGTGGGGCTGCACATGTGTGGTACGTTGATATGCGCAGGAGGCGAGCGAGAGGCTGTCACTGTGCCTGCTGCTGCGCCGCACCCAGGGGTGCCTCTCCAACGCGCGGGTGACTGCCATTGGGCCGCGTTATATGAATGTCTACATCGAACGCTTCGGGGTGAGTAAAGGCTTAGTGTGCTAGGTAGATACGCACAGGAGGCGAGCGAGCGGCTGTTCCTGTGCCTGCTGCTGAAGCGCACCCAGGGGTGCCTTTCTAAGGCCTGGGTGGTGAATATCGGGCCGCGCTACATGAACGTCTACATCGAACGCTTTGGGGTGAGTAAAGTAGGTGTTTACTGGATGGGTATATGCAAGCAGGAGGCGAGCGAGCGGCTTTTCCTGTGCCTGCTGCTGAGGCGCACGCAGGGGTGCCTTCCCAGAGCGTAAGTGGTGATCATCGGGCCGCGCTACATGAACGTCTACATCGAACGATTTGGGGTGAGTGGGATATGATGAGCTGTTGCTGGGGACGCATGTGCTAGGTGGGTGGGGATAGATGCAAGCAGGAGGCGAGCGAGCGGCTGTTCCTGTGCCTGCTGCTGAGGCGCACCCAGGGGTGCCTCTCCAGGGTGTGAATAGGGTCGTGAGTAGGGTCGTGAATATTGGGTCCCAATACCACCTGCTAGTGGGTCTCCACCTTGGGTGGTATTCTCATTCCCACACCCCCTCCTCCTTTCTTCCCTTCCTCTCTGTCCCGCATCTCCCTCTTCTCCCCTCCCCCCTCCCCCCCTCCCCCCTCCCCTTGATACAGATGGAGCGACCCATTCACTTCAACTCCCCAACTCCACCTGCCAGTGGGTCGCTGCCACTTGTGTTCTTCTCATTCCTGTCTGTTTTTTCTGCCTGTTCTTCTCCTCCATTTCCATTGTACAGATGGAACGGCAGATTCACTTCAACTCGATCCCCAACACCACTTGCCAATGGGTCGCTGCCACTAGTAGTGTCATCCTCAGCGCCAAGCCTCCGCCTTCCGAGGCTAGCGCCAAGGCTCGGAACGGAAAGGTCCGGAAGGACCAGGTTCAGAATGGCGAGGTTGGGAATGCCGCAGAGTGCAAAGCAGCAGCAGCAGTGGCAGGTCTACCAGTAAATGATCTGGCCCATCTGATATCACCATCAGCGTTGGTTCAGAATGGTGGTGGTGGTGGTGAGGAGAGCAGTGGCAGTGCAGTGGGAAGCGAAGGTTTAGAGGATTCTACTGGGGTTTCAGGCCTGGCAACTGATGACCTTGCCCGTAGCATCTCACCTGATTTGCTCGAAGGAGATGATGAAGTAGATGGTGGTACAGGTGGTGCTTATAACGAGGATGACAGTATCTTGCTGGTTGATGGAGGGTTGGCAGCTGCGGCAGAGGCAGCAGCTGGAGTGGGAGATGAGGGAGAAGGGGGAGTGCTGCAGCCTGTGGTGTTGCCGCTGACTCTTCGCATCATGGCTCAGGTGCCTGTCTTTGTGCATACCACGGGGGGTGGCAAGCAGTTGATGGATATTGGTGCTCGCTTGTACGTTGGTTGATTGAAAATGGTGCATGAGCAAGGAGAGGGGGTGTTGCTCGGACTTGTCACATCATGGCTCAGGTGTCTGTGTATGTGCATACCACAGGGGATGGTAAGCAGTTGATGGATATTGGGGCTCGTTTGTATGTTGGTTGACTGGAAATGGTGGATGAGGGAGAAGGGGTGTTGCTTGCAGCCTGTGGTGTTGCCGCTGACTCTCCGCCTCATGACTCAGGTGTCTGTCTTTGTGCCTACCACGGGAGGTGGCAAGCAGTTGATGGATATTGGTGCTCGCTTTTATGTTGGTTGATTTAAAATGGCGGATGACGAAGGAGAGGGGGTGTTGCACTGATTCCTCTGACTCATGGCTCAGCTGCCTGCGCTCGTGCACACCATGGCGGTGGCAAGCAGCCGATTGACATTGGTGCTCGTTTGTACATTGGTTGATGAAAAATGGTAGACAAGGGGGAACGGGAGGTGTTGCAGTTGGTGGTGTTGCCACTTACTCTTCGACTCATGTCGCAGGTGCCTGTGCATGTGCATACCACGGGAGGTGGTAGACAGTTGATGGATATTGGGGCTTGTTTGTGTGTTGGCTGGTCGAAAATGTACATGTGCAATGCAGCTTCTTCTTCAGTACGCATATTGTGATAGTTGCATATGGTTTTGTGCTGTCATGATTCGAGATGCCTTAGTTTTTGTTTGTGAGTGCGAGACCGGTAAATCACGTTCACATGGAAATGCAAATGATTTGGTTAGAATGCTCCGCACAGAAGTGTGTCGTTAGGCCATAGTGATTTTTCACCGCGCTTTCACTTTATCGCGTACGCTGTCGGTTAAAAAACAAAGACGTATGGATGGATCCACATTGATTACTGTACGCGCGTTGCCAACCCCTTCTTACAGTATTTATGTGCACTACAGTTACGAGCGACTTCCATAGCTGTGTAAAATGGCTATTCTAGGTTCGGCTGGATATAGTTCGGTTTACGAGAACAAGCCTAGGGAACATCTCGCAAGTGGCTGCAACTTATGGCTCGCTCTGGTCTCACTCCCATCGGTTTCTGTTGACACTGTCAGCTTGTCGTGCCAGTTGCAGCAAGGTGCCAAAGCAATCTTGCCCTTTGTCACGTCAGCAGCATGCTGCTGTCCTGCAGCGGAGCCTTGCTCAGGTTCTGTAGCTCGCCCTTTCAAACTCACGAACTCTCATCTCAAGTTCTCAAGCTCCGCTTGACTCCCTCCTGTCAGGCTGCCAGCCAGTCTTCCCCAGATCCCGCCGAGCCCATTTCAAGACCCTCCTCTCTCCTCTCCTCCTCAACTCTCAGGTAAATTCCAAAGTTGGAACACCATCCAAAGTTCCCCCACGCGACTCGAAATGTCAACGTGACATTTCAATGTTACTCCACGCGGTCCGAAGTCTGGACACTAAGGAACATACCGGTCAAGTGACGTGAGAATGATGCGCAGGTCAAATGCGACATGGACGATCGGGGAATTTTTGGCTTCAATCCCTTGACTTCAACTTACAGTCGTGACCGTCACGAACCTTGAAAAATCTGCCCACAACAACCAATGAACCCATGGAGAATGTTTTTCCCAGGCCGCCCGAGTAAATTTGACCGTTCACTGTTTTCGCGCTCTGATTGGGCACGAAACCAGTCTGATCCAACAACCGTCAGGCGATTCTGACGAACCTGGTCGCACGCCTAAGGGCGTGGGCCCAAACGGGTTTGATCGCGACTGATCTGATCGGGGCGGATCTGATGGGGTTGCTTGTGATCGCAATGCCCGAGCCGCCCGATCAGTAATGTTTTTCTTAGAAGATTCGTCTCGGCTGCTCAGCAAGCGGGATTTAACTACCTGGTATTTTCGTGGCAATCTTAGCGAGACTGGCGACCAGACGGCTTCTGGCGAAACTCTCTGTATCCAAGTAATATCGTGAAAACCACTCCCCTCTGGAGCCGAAGTGGTGAGATTCCACCAGATTGTTCGACACAGGCTGTATGTTCCTTGGGAGCGAGGAGAATGATTGGATGGCGAAATGGGTGCCATTCCAGGGTGTTCTGTACAGGCTGGACATCTTCGTGAGGGGTTGACGAATCCTTGTAATATAGTGTAACTTTTCGTCAGTCTCGCTGTGATCCCCGATCACCCACGATCAATTGATCGTGGGTGATCGAAGAGAATCGACTATGATCGGGGGGTAAATCGGGTCTGATCGAGTTGGGGCGATCAGCTGATCGCGATCAGCTGATTGCCCCTGATTGCCTGAATTTGGCTTCCTGGAAAGTATTGATCGCGGCTGATCGAGGCGATCAAACCCGTTTGGGCCCACGCTATAACTTTGTCACATGTCCAAACTGGGGCCACACCCCACAAGGACACCATCCACCCCCAAAAAGTGCTTGCGGTGGGGGAACCTCGATGGTGTCCCAACTTCGGAATACAATCTCAGAGGCTCTCCTCGGCCGGGAGGGAGTCGAGAGAGACTCGAGTCGAGACTGGTTTCTTTCCTCCCTCAGTTCTGTACAGAGGTGTACAGTATACAGTGCACGTACTTGTTGTAGTTTTATGGATTTCACGAAATACCCTTCGACATCGGACCCTATTTGCGAAGACTCACTTTTCAAATTTCAACTCATCACTTTTGTTTCTCACCGTCATCGCTTCGGCATTCCTATTTGCGTAATGGTTGTGGTAGTTTTAACTCCAGACCATCAAAATACGTTGCAACAGCCCGGAAATTCTCTATTCTCTGAACCTCGTACACTCCCGAAGTTGCACCTCCGATCGAATCTCGAGGTCCCCAACCCCTTCCCCACTGACCCGACCAAACTCTCCCCTCCCTCCCCCCATTCATTCCGCCTTCCCGATAACGCCTGCGCCGACCCCGTCATCCGTTTTATTTGCAGATCTGAATTCCCTTCCTCGATTTTTCCTGCTCTGTGGTTGTTACTGGTGTTTCTTGAGCATCTTTTGGGGAAGGAGATTTCAAGCTAGTGTGAGCAGTCATGCTGCACTCTAAAACGATTGAGCTTGTTTTTGTTTGTTTTTTCTCTTCGAGAACCGGCTGTTTGTTTCAGCAAGGTCCAGCATGTAAGCTCCTCTGAATAATCTAGGTAGTTGTTTGAAAGCTCTTTCGTTTACAGATGTCATAAAAACGTAACGGCGACCATCCTGATACGTTGATTCAAGGCTCTATGCATCCATCTTGATCGGGTTTAGCATGCATACGATGTCATTTTTTTTTGTTTTTTGTTTTTGGTTTTAATTTCATTTGTATCTTTATCTTTGTGTGTGTGTGTGTGTGTGTGTGTGTGTGTGTGTGTGTGTGTGTGTGTGTGTGTGTGTTTGTTTGTTTGTTTGTTTTTCTCTTATTTTCTATCGTATAACTTCTGAATAGCCTCCGTTTCCTTCCTTTATTCCCCTCGGTCATTTTTCTAAGCAGCTGGTTGGACTCAGGATCTTTCCCTCCGCCACTTCTCAGGCGCCGCGATTATAGCAAATAAGTGAAACTAGAGATCCTTAAGGACATGAGGCTAGTTACTCGAGGAGCAGTTTTTGTTCGTGGTACCAGTGAATTCCGCGGTTGATTGCATCTTCCCAACCTACGCATTTATCAGACACTGTGGTTGGGTAACATCGGCACTCTCGCGATGCCGATCGGAAAGCAGCGGCAAGGCGATGGGGACGACGACGAGAACGGCGGGAAGGAACGGCATCGATCGCACAGGGAGAGGGACAGCGACGGCCATGGCGGCCCGACCCGTCCTCTCGCGTCGTTAATGTCGGCTGCTCCGCACGTTCCGCATGGGCAGAGATCCCATCATGGACACGACGCGGGGCACGCGGGAAACGCAGGAAGCGCGGGACACGTGGGGCAGAGGACTCATAGTAGTGATCCCGGACCAAGAGCTTCGCAGGATGCGCATCGTACTTCACATCATGACCCTTCGCCTCCCGTCGACAAGCATCTTTCAACGCTGCTCGCGGACATAAATGCCGTTTGCTCGAAACCGGGAGGCGGCTTGCCGAATCTTAAAGGCGTGGAGTCGCTTCTCTCGCTTGTGAACGCCGACAAGAGCGACGGGCGACGGAAGCTCGGTTTCGCCGACGCCGTCGCACGTCGTCGCGCGGTCGCTCACGCTGTCGCAGCCACGGACGAGGAGTCGTGCCTGTCGCATTTCATCGCGAAAGGAGGCCTGAAAACCCTAGACGAATGGCTGCAGGAAACGCACAAGGGCAAATACAGCCACGGGAACACCAGCAGCGGCAGCGGCGGCGGCGGAAGCGGCAAGGGGGGAGATACAGTCGATCAGGCCGCGCTAGACGACCTCTTATTGGCGCTTCTCCGCGCGTTAGCGCGATTGCCGGTGGATCTCGAGGCGCTTAAGAGCTGCGTGGTGGGCAAATCGGTGAACCAGCTGCGCAGCCAGCGGAACGCGGAGGTGCAGAGGCGCGCAAAGCGGTTGGTGGAGGTTTGGAAGAAGCGCGTGGACGAGACGCTTGCGGAGAACATGGGGCGGAAGAGCGCAGGGGGAGGGGGGAGCGCAGGGGGGAGTGCAGGGGGAGGGGGCACGGGAGCCGCAGCAAACGTAGGTACAGCAGCAATTGGAGGGACAGCAGCTTCAGGAGCAGAAGCAGGGACAGGGGGGGCAGGTGCGAAAAAAGGGACACCCGTTGTAGTCACACCTGTGGCCGCATCACCCCTGCGACCGTCCGCTGTTTCCTCCCCTGCGTCTTCTCCAACCCAGCTCACAGCAGGCTCGGGGCAGCCTCGGGCTGCCAAACCTAGTGGCTCGGCAGGGGATGGGGGAGACCCCGGCGGGACGCCGGGGGCGGGGAGAGGGCGAGGGGGAGGCGGAGCGGGGGAAGGGGGGCGGCCGCCCCCTTCCCCCCTGTCCGTTCCGGGGGGCAGTCCCAGGGGCCGGGGGGAGTCGCAGGTTTCGCCTGGGAGCCTGCGAAGTGGTAACCAGAAGGGTCACGCGAGTGGGTTACCAAAATCGGGTGGGAGTGGAAGCAAGGTGGTGAGTCCAAGAGGAGTAGGCTCGGCAGGCAAAGGGACAGGAACGGAACGGGCGGAGGGTAAGGTTTCTGGGGTGGGAGGAGGGGAGAAGGGAGATGCTGCGGAGGAGGAAGTGGGAGAGGAGAAGAAGAGAGGGGAGAGGGAGGAACGAAGAAGTGGGCATTTGCAAGCGGAGGAGGAGAGGGAGAGGGAGGGGGAGAAGGAGAAGGAGAAGGAGAAGGAGAAGGAGAAGGAGAAGGAGAAGGAGAAGGAGAAGGAGAAGGAGAAGGAGAAGGAGAAGGAGACGGAGACGGAGAAGGAGAAGGAGAAGGAGAAGGAGAAGAAGAAGGAAAAGGAGAAGGAGAAGGAGAAGGAGAAAGAAAAAGAGGGGAAGAAAGCAGGGGCGGGGAGCAAACCAGGGAAAGGGGTACAGGAGGAGGAGGGCGCTGTAGGCGATCGTGAGCTGTCAAAAGCAGAAAGATCAGCGGAAAAAAATGCTGCTGCTGCGCCTGCTGTGGCTTTTGAGGCGCCTCAAAAGGAAGTGGAGGGCGTTGTGGGCGGTGGTGAGCTGTCAAAAGCAGAAGGATCAGCCGACATAGATGCTGCTGCCGTGTCTGCTGTGGCCTCTGCTGCCCCTGAGTCGTCTGATGGGCAAGGCAGGCTGCAGGAGCGCGCTGGCTCGAGCAAACCGCTGGGAGAGGCTGTTCCGTTGCCAGAGACGGAGAAAGAAGAGAAGGAGAATCGGAAGGAAAGGAGGGAGGGGAAGGAGGGAAAGGAGGGGAAGGATCGCGAGGAAGGAAAGGAGGAAAGGGAGGTGGAGGCTAGAATATCCTCATCAGGGGAAGCAGAGAGGCCGCGGTTGGTTGACGAGGGAAAGGCAAAGGATGGCGAAGGGATGGAGGGGAAGGACGGGGAGAAAGAGCGCGAGGAGAAAACGGAGAAAGGGGTTGATCTCGTGGGGAAAAGTGAGGGGGGCGAGGGTGCGAGTGGTGTCAAGGAAACAGAGTCGGGCTTGGGTGAAGCATCGAAGGGAACGCGAGGCGGGGCGGGATCAGAAGGTGGGGCAGGGACAGCTGAGAAAGTTGGTGCTTGTGTGGTTGAGGAGAAGGGGGGTAAATCAGAAACCGTGGCTGCTCCTGCTGCTGCCCCTCCTCCTCCTCCTCCTCCTCGTCCCCCTCCTCCCCCTCCCCCTGCTGCTGCTGCTACTGCTCCTGATGCTTCCGCGGCTTCGGGAACAGCAGAGAAAGGAGAGCCAGCGGCAGCAAACCGGCTAGTAGTGAAGATCCCAGTACCTGTAAGGAGCCCTGCCGTTAGTCCAGCCGGTGGGGTGGACGGTCGTCAAGTAGCGAGTTCCCCTATGCGCAGCAGCAGCGGGAAGGCTTCTAGTGGAAGTCGGAGGGAGGAGGAGGAGAAGGGGCGGAAGGGGAAGGAGAAGAAAGGGGAGAAGGAGGGTGAGGGGCGTGGGGAGGAGGAAGGAGAGAGGAAGAGTGGGGTGGATGGGAAGGGGAGGGAGAAGAAAGGGGAGAAGGAGAGTGAGGGGCGTGAGGTGGAGAGGGATAAGGAGCATGGGAGGAAGAGGGAGAGGGAGAAGGATAGGGAGAAGGGGAAGGAAAAGGAGAGAGGGTCGAAGGATAGGGATAGGGAGTCGAAGAGGAGTAAGCATAAGCATAAGGAGGGAAAGGAGGGTAAGGAGGGGAAGAAAGAGAAGGGGAAGGACAAAAAAGATAGAAAAGAGAAGGAGAGGGAGAGGGAGAGGGATAAGGAGAAGAAGGAGAAGGATAAGGAGAAGGAGAAGGAGAGAGAAAAAGAGAAGGAGAAGGAGAAGGAGAGGGAGAAGGAGAAGGAGAGGGAGAGGGAGCATCGGAAGGAGAAGGAGAAAGACAAGGAAAGGAAGGAGGAAGACAGCACAGCAGAGCGATCAGAGGGTGGGGAGGACGCAGGAGGGAAAGGAGGTGCACAGAGGATGTCTGGAGAGAAAGGGAGGAAGGAAGAAGGAGAGGGGGCGGACGGGGAGGGGGCCAGCGCAGCAGAGCAAGATGCGAACAGCAAGCTAGATTCGCTTGTTACGGGCGTGGGAGCGAGTGCTCTGGATGGAAGTATAGCTGGAAGGCAAGAGCGTGTGGGTGGTGCTGCAGTTAGCCCGTCTGCGGAGGGAGTGGCGGCTGTAGGAGCAGGGAGTGTGGGCGGAGAAGGGAGTGGAAGGGAAGCGGAGAGCCGGCAGCAGCAGGGGGAAGCGAGGAGGCGGGGGGATGTTGAAGATGAGGATAAAGGGGGAGAGAGCAGAAGTGCTGCTGCTGGTGGTGGTGGTGGTGGTTCTGGCGATGCTTGTGTTGCTGGTGCTGCTGCTGCTGCTGATTCTGGTGGTGGTGGTGGTGGTGGTGACGCAAGGCAGGATTCTGCTGACGTGGGTGGTGGGAGAAGGAGCGGGGGAGGCGGGCAGGAGGTAGCAGGGGAAAGGGCAGGAGCAGAGACGGGAGCAGAGACGCGGGCAGCAGCAGGGGCAGGGGCAGAGAAAGGCGGTGGGCCAGGAGAGCAGGGGATGGTGACACGGGAAGGGGGTTTGAAGGGGGAAGAAGGAGTGGGGGTAGGAGGATTAGGGGGATTAGGAGTGGGAGAAGAATCAGGGAAAGAATTGTTAGGCTTTTCAGCAGAGGCAGGTGTTGCAGGGCCGACACAGAAGGAGGGTGTTGTTGCGGGCGGGTCAGTCAAGGAAGGTGCAGGGAGAGGGACGGGTGATGGAGGGGAAGAGGTAAGTGTCAAGGAAAAGGGTTCTGATGGTAAGGGGTTGAAGCTGCAGCAGGGACAGCAGGACAGAAAAACCGAGCAGCAGCAAGAGGAGAGGGACGGGAGATGGACGGGAGATGGAGGGGAAGAGGTAAGTGGCAGGGAAAAGGGTTCTGATGGTAAGGGGTTGAAGCTGCAGCAGGGACAGCAGGTGCGTCAGCAGGAGGGGAAAACCGAGCAGCAGCAAGAAGAGGGGGAAGAGAAAGAAGAAGAAGGGGCAGGGGGTGGTGGTGGGGATGAGAGAAGGCTCATTGTAAGATTCTCGGTGAGCAAGCGTGGGAAAGAGGTGGAGGAGAAGGAGGAGGAGAAGGAGGAGGAAGCTACTGGTGTCACAGACCTGGGGGGAGCAACAGTCAGGGTTACTTCTGAGGGTAGATCTGAGAGGCATCAGAAGCTGGCTGAAGAGGATACTTGCGGGGTGGGTCAGAAGCAGGATGGGGGGGATCGGCTGAGTGAGGGGAATGGTGCAGAGGTGGCAGGAGGCGCAGGGAAGGAGGGGAGTGAGAGAGAGCGGGAGAGACTGGGTGCTGAGTGCAAGGAGCGGGAAGCTTCTGGGAATGGTCCTGTGGAGGGGCGTGGCGAGTCTGGGGGCGTGAGGGAAAGAGAGGAGGAGAAAGGGGGAGAGAGGTTGAAGGAGAGAGAGGGAGTGAGAGAAAGAGACGGGAGGGAAAGGGAGGGGGGGAGAACGGAGGGCGTGAGAGAGAGGGAGGGTGTGAGAGAGAGGGAGGGTGTGAGAGAGAGGGAGAGCGATCCTGGCCCTGGGAGTGGAGGAGGGCTGAAGGCTGATGTGGCGATGGCAACTGGTGGAGGGCGGCAGTTCTCGGACTATCTGCCGCCCAGAAGAAGAGGGTCTGACAGCGATCGGCCCCGTGCCCCCACTGGCTCGAGTGAGTGTGTTGGTTTTCTGATTTCGGTAGGAGACGTGCTTTACTTACTTATTTCTTTTCGGTACAGTATAGTGATGGCGGTATTTTACGCTCCACTTAGACATGAGCAATGGGCGAACACCAAACATGTTCGCCCTTGTGCTCATGTCTAGTTCCGCTGCATGTCCAGCTGGCTAATAGAGAGGATTTTTCTTGTTTTTCTTTTTGGTGCTTTCTCTCTCTTCCACTATGCAATGCACCTCCTTTGACTTTTGAGACGTCTGAAAAGTCACTATGCTATGCACCTCCTTTGCCTCCCTTCTCCCCCAACCCGTCTCTTCCCTTCCTCTCCCTTATGTCTACCATCCTTTTTCTTTCCCTACAGTTCCTCTTACAAAGGTTCTTTTCTCCCTCGCCTCGGCTTTTCCTTCCCTCCCCTCCAGGCATAGTCGCACAGGCAGGCGATCAGCCGTGATTATAAAGGGCACCATTTACATCTCGTCACAAAGGTCCTTGTCTCTTATCTTCTCGCCCCTTCCTGTCCCGTCCTTCCAGGCATAGTCACGGGCAGGCGGTCAGCCGTGATTATAAAGGGCACCGTCAACAAAGGCCCTTCCTCACAAGCTCCTCTTGTCTCTTATCGCCCCGTCCCGTCCCTCCAGGCATAGTCACAGGCAGGCGATCGGCTGTGATTATAAAGGGCACCGTCATCCCCTCGCCGCTCTCCCACCGGCCAGTCAAGAAAGTCAAGGCAGTCAAGATGGCTGCCGTTGCCTCAGTCATGGAAGCTTCCCGCCCCAGCACCCTTCCGTCCTCCCCGCCTCACTCTACCCACGAGCCCACACTCCACCCCGCCACGTCGTCCCTCTCCTCTCTCTCCTCCCCTCCTCGCGCCCCTCCGCCCTCCTCTCCCTTGCTCTCTCGGATCCCCAAGGGGAGGCGGTCACCTGTTCCTTGGCTGCCCATGGGGGGCTCGAGGGGTGCTTCTCCTGCTGTTTCTGAAGGGGAGGGGGTAGAGGCAGAGAGGAGGAGTCCCAAGGGGTTGAGTGAGATTGCGAGTGGGTTGAGAGGTGTGGGTGACGGTGCTACGCCTGCTGCTGCTGCTGCTGCAGATGTTCCTGCTGCGTCTGGAGCGGCTGCTGCTGCAGCTGCTGGTGATGGTGGTGGTGGTGGTGGTGCTGCTGCTGCTGCTGCTGCTACTCCCGCTGCTGTTCCCGCTGCAGGTCCTGCTGCTGTTCTTGCTACCGAGACTGGTGATATGGATGAGTGTGGGGCAAGCAGAGCTATTACACCCAGAGAGGAACCCCAAGGGGTGAGAGAAAATGTCTCGGATTTTCGAGGGCTGGAGGGTGGCGGCAACTGCAACAGTGCAGATGCGGACGAGGATCTGCCGCCCACCGAGACTGCTACAGTGCTGGCGTCGCTGATGAGTGCGGCGAGTGCTGAGCGGGCTGATCCGGGGGAGGTGCCATCTGGGGGAGGTGCTGAGGGGAGTGGTGGTGGGGGCAGAGAATTAGGGTTTGGGGGATGTGAGGCAGCAGATTCAATGCCTGGGCGTTTGAGTGCTCGGGATGGCGCGTCAAGAGTTATGGGAGAGAGGGGAGAGACGGGGGGGATGGGAGGGGTTGGAGAGGGCATGGGAGGGGGCACAGGAGGGGGGATAGGAGGGGGCATGGGAGGAAGCACGGGAGGGGACATGGAGGATGGGCCAAGTGCGGATCAGCTAGCGATCGAATGCCTGCTGAAAGCTGCTGAGGCGAAGGATGAAGGGGAGGGGGAGATCTCTGATGGCACAAGGGCAGATGTGAAAGAGGGGGTAGGTTCGGCTGCAGGAGGGGCAGTAGCAGCTGGGGAGACAGCAGCAGCAGTGGTTGCAGCAGAAGTTGTTGCAGAGGCAGCAGGAGGCAAGGCAGCAGCGAAACCAGGAGCAGGGGCAGGGGCAGGGGCTGGGGCAGGGGCAGGGGCTGGGGCAGGGGCAGGGGCAGCGGATATAGAGGATGAGGAGGAGTTGAGTGTGGCAGCAGTTTTGGCGTCTAGTAAGTGGCAGGGCAAGGGGCGGCAAAACGGCCAACTGATCTCCAGTTCTGGTCGCTCTGATACCATTCCAACGGCCTCCGCTCTCGCCTCTGCTGCTGCTGCAGCAGCTGCAGCCAGTGCTGCCCTGCACGCCGCTTCCCTGTCCTCTGCCCTGCCCTCACACCCTTCCCCCCTGTCGTCCCCTCCTCTCTCCCACCGCTCCTCCCTGTCTGCTCTTTCTCTCCCTGCCGCCTTGCAAAGTCCCTGGCGGGCGGCTCTTGCTGCTGAGATCGAGAGGGAGAAGAGCGAGGGTGCATGGGTGGCCGGATCAGATATTGCGGTAGGCACTGGGGCAGGCGCGGGGGCAGGGAGTGCGGAAGGGAGAGAGGCAGAGGGAGCGGGGGGAGCAGGAGAGGCAGAAGGGGAGAATCAGGTGAGGATGCCTGTTGCTAAGAGACTGAAGGTGTGTGGTGATGGGGATACAGACAGTGTGGGGAGTGGGGGAGTGGGGGGTAAGAGGGGGAAAGGGAGTGGGAAGAAGAGGGAAGAAGGGGAGAGGGCGGTGGATGGGGTGAGGAAGGAAGCAGGGGAGAAGAAGGACGAGGGGGGAGAGAAGAAGGAAGGGGGCGAGAAGGTGAAGGTGACAAGGAAGAGGACGGGGGCAGGGGTGTCGAAGGCTGGAGGGGAAGGGGCACGGAAAGCTGGAGTGGGGAAACCACGTGGGCTGGTTAGAACCAAGGATGGGTCTGCAGCAGCAGCACCTGCAGCGGTAGCAGCAGAAGCAGCAGCAACAGCAGCAGCAGCAGGAGGAGGAGGAGCAGCAGCAACAGCAGCAGCAGCAGGAGGAGGAGGAGCAGCAGCAACAGCAGCAGCAGCAGGAGGAGGAGCAGCAGCAGGAGGAGGAGCAGCAGCAACAGCAGCAGCAGCAGCAGCAGCAGCAGCAGGAGGAGCAGCAGCAACAGCAGCAGCAGCAGCAGCAGCAGGAGGAGGAGCAGCAGCAGCAGGAGCTTCTGCAGGAGCTGGGGCAGGGGTTGCGGTTGAGGTAGCGAAAGAGGAGAAGCAGGACGGTGCAGGGGAGGCGGGTGGGAAGGTGGGGACACCAAAGAAGCAGGGCAAGCAGGAGAAGGAGGAAAAGCAGGAGGATATTCCGCTGCGGCGGCTGCAGAAGCAACAGGCGGCTGAAAGGAAGGAGGCGAAGGCTCGTCAGCAGCAACAACAACAGCAGCTGAAGCAGCAGCCACCGCAGCAGCAGCTGATACACCAGCAACAGCAACAGTTAAAGCAACAGCAGTTGAAACAGCAACAGCAGCAGCAGCAGCGGGTGCAGGAGGGAGTGGGGGTGAGCAAAGGGGAGGCGGGCGAGGAGGAGGGGGTGATGGGGTTGCAGCAGCTGCAGCAGGCTCTGATGCACGGCCAAGCCGGGCCTTCAACGCAGCAGCAGCAGCAGCTGTTGCCACAGCAGCAGCTGCAGCAGCACCAGCAGCAGTCCCCGTTAGTGTCACAGTCACAGCTGCACAAGGGCCTGCCACTACAAGCACGAAAAGGGTCGTTACAGTCACAAAGAGGCATACAATCACTTGGGCAGAAAGCAGCGCAGGTGCAGGGACAACAGGGGCTGCACTCGTTACAATCACATTCGCAGCAGGGGCTGCACTCGTTACAATCACAAGCACAAGGAGGGTTGCAGTCACAGCCGCAAGCACAGAAGGCAGCACATTTGCAGGAGAAGCAGGAGCAGTCTCAGGGGGCAAAGGCAGGTGGGGCTGCAGCGGGGGCTGGGGGGACAAAGAGGAAGGCAAGCAGAGCAAAGAAATCTCCTGACAAAGCTCTGCTGCAGCAGCAGCAGCAAGGGCAGCAGCAGCAGCAACAACAACAAGGGCAGAAGCAGCAGCAGGAAGAGAAGCCGGCTGAGAAGCGGCCGCGAATTCTGTTTGATTTTGACCTGAATGTCGCTGAGGACTCTGCTGAAGACGCTACAGCTGCCGCTACAGCTGGTGCTACAACCGGTCCAGCAGCCACCTCTCCTCATGCTGCTGCCCCTGCATCTGCCCCTGTCTCTTCCCACGCCCGTGCCCCTGCACCTGCCCCTGCGCCTAGAGGGTTTGACCTCAACTTTGCAGAGGAGGCGGAAGAGGAAGAGCCGCAGTTTCCTCCTCCTCCTGCTGCGGGCGCTGCTGCTGCTGCTGCTTCTGCTGCTCCGGCTTCAGTCTCTAATCGGCAGTCTGTTGCTGACAGTGCACCTGCTGCCTGTGCTGCTCCCTCTGCTCCCTCTGCTCCCGCTGCTCCTGTTGCTGCCCCTGCCGCCCCCACTTCCCCACCAGCATCACAGAATCGGTTTTTGGACTTCGATTTGAATGATGGGCCAGGGTTTGGAGATGAGCCATTGCAGCCGTCTCCCTCCCCTCCTCCTCAAGCAAATAGAGCAGCTGTAGCAGCAGGAGCGGCTGTAGCAGGTGGGCCAGGTGGGGCGGCTGGAGCAGGTGGAACTGTGCCAGCCGTCTCGTTTCACCCCATGCACTCCGCCTCTCCTTTCTTGCATGCGCAAGCTCAGGCGCAGCAACGGCAGCAACACCAGCTGCAACAGCAGCGGCAGCAGCAGCAGCAGCAGCAGCAGCAGCAGCTGCAACAACAACAGCAGCAGCAGCAACAACAACACCAGCAGCAACAGCAGTGGCAACACCAGCAGCTACAGCAGCGGCAGCAACAGCAGCAGCAGCAACAACAGCAGCGGCAAGGGCAGCAGCAACAGCAACAACAGCAACAGCAGCGGCAACAGGAGCAGCAACACCAGGCACACCAGCAGCAGCAGCAGCAGCAGCAGCAACCACAACATTCAGTGCAGCAATTACCCTCTCAGCTACAGTCCAGACCAGCAGGGGCAGCACCTACAGTGGGATCTCCAGCCAGTGGGAGCCTGCCACCTGGCAACATGCCGTTGCTGCCCCCCGGGCTGGCGTCTCACCCTCTGTTTGGCAAGCTGGCAGAGCAACTGCTGAGTCAGCAGGGGGTGAGTCAGCAGCAGCAGGTATTGGGCCAGCTGGCGTTTCTGCAGCAGGCTCTGCCACCTCAGCTGCAGATGCAGATGCAGCAGCAACTGCAGATGCTGCAGCAGAACCAGCAGCAGTTGCAGCAACATCAGCATCGGCAGCTCCAGATGCAGCAGCAGCAGCAGCAGCCGCAGCAACAGGAGCAGCAGCAGCAGCAGCAACAGCAGCAACGGCAACAGCAGCAACAGCAGCAGCAATTGTCGCAACAGGTCCCGTCACTACAGCAGTCACAACAGCTTCAACAGCAGCAGCACCAGCAACAACAACCATCACAACAGAATCAGCAGCAAAAGCATCAGCAGCAGCCGCAACAGCCGCAGCAGGAGCAGCATATTCCACCCCGTTTCTCCCAGCAGCAGATTCGCCCCACAGCAGCCTCAGTAGCAGCCGGCCTTGCAACATCTGTAGGCCACCACTCTCCTGCCCCTCTTCCCCCATCCGCACATCCAGCTGCTTCACCAGCATCATCAGCAGCACCACCACCAGCAATAGCACAGCCTTTCACGGCCTCTGCTCCGGCTCATGCCACTTCTGCCACCGTCCCATCCCGATTCAGCACAAGCGGCATGCCATCCCATTTCCCCACTAGTAACCTGCCATCCAATGTCACCACAAGCGGCATTACCAGCAGCAGCATGCCGTCACATACCGCCAATCCTCGCCACCCCACCACGCTCTCTCAATTCACGCACCTTCCCCGGCCGTCCATGCTCCCTGCGGGAGCCCCGTTCCCCTCCTCCTCAGGTCCCCTCCCCAGCGGTGTGCTCTCTGCTCTTATGGCCGCCTCCTCCGCCTCTGCTGCCGCTGCTTCTTCTGCTTCTGCTGCTGCGGTTGCAGCTGCCTCTGCTTCTCCTCCTGCTTCTGCTGCTGCCTCTGCTGCTCCCTCCGCTGCTGCCTCTGCTGCTGCCGCCCAGCTCTCTTCTGCTGGTCCTACGTCTGTGTCCCCTCCTCTATTTCCCCCCAGCATCAGCCCCCATCCTTCCACACCAGCATCATCCCCCTCTCTCTCCCTCTCTGCAGCTGTGGCAGGCGGCACAGGTGCATCTTTAGCAGCCGGCACAGCTACAGCTGTAGCAACCAGACCCAGTTCGGCTGTAGCAGGCAGTGCAACTGCAGCAGGGGGGCCGACTCGGCCTTTAGCAGTGGGGGCGGCAGGGGCTGTAGCAGGGGTGTCGGCAGGGGCTGTAGCAGGAAGAGCGAGTGGAGCTGTGATGGGTGGGCCGGCAGGGACGGTGCTACCAGCCAGCCTAGCAGCAGCAGCTGTAGCGGCGAATCTGCCCCCTGGCGCATCTTCAATCAGCCAGCTGTTGCAGAGACTGCCAGGCATGACTGGAACAACACCCGCTACAGCTGCTACAGCTGCTACAGCCGCTGCAGGTGCTACAGGTGCTGCTACTTCTGCTGCTAACGCTGCAGCTGCAACTGTGTTTGGGTCTGGCGGGGGTCTGAGTGGCGCTAACAACATGGGGAGCATGGGTATTGGTGGGGCTAACAGCATGGGTAGCATGGGGATGAGCGGGCTTAACAGCACTGGTGGCATGGGTAGTGCTGGGGCTAACAGCATGGGTAGCATGGGTATGACTGGGCCTAACAGTCTAAATAGCCTGTCCAGTTCTAGCAGCTTAGGTAACAGCAGCAGCAGCAGCATGGGTGCTCTGAATAGCCTCAGCGCCCTCTTTGCCTCCTCCTCCCTCCCTACAGTCACACAGCCTCCTGCGTCCCTCCTGGCCAAGCTAGCCCACGCAGGCGTGCCGCTATCAGGTGTGCTTCAAACGGGGCTCTCCCAGTCCGTCCTCGCCCAAACGAACGTTCCTGTAACGAGCACCCCGCCAGCAGCAGGAGGGGGGGGAGGAGGAGGAGGGGGAGCAGGAGGGGGAGCAGGAGGAGGTGGAAGGAGCAACCGAGGCGGTAATCTCCCTCCTCTTACTGGCTCTCCTGCTCCCTCGCTCCCCTTTCGCCCGTCCTCTCGAGGGGCGGGCTTTAACCCTGGTGCAGCTGCAAGCTCAGGAGCGAATGCTGCGAGCGGTGGTCAGAACTTAACGAATGTGAGTACTGCTTTTGAGTTGACTCAAAACTCGGGCTTTAACCCGGCTGCAGCTGCAAGCTCAGGAGCGAATGCTGCCAGCAGTGGTCAGAACCTGACACATGTGAGTGGCAGTGCAGGGGTGAATAGGCAGTATTGGTGAAACACTGGTATGTGCTAGTGGTGCTGTTGGGGTGAATAGGCAGTATTGGTGAAACACTGGTATGTGCTAGTGGTGCTGTTGCGGTGAATAGGCAGTATTGGTGAAACACTGGTATGTGCTAGTGGTGCTGTTGGGGAGAATAGGCAGTATTGGTGAAACACTGGTGTGTGCTAGTGGTGCTGTTGGGGTGAATAGGCAGTATTGGTGAAACACTGGTATGTGCTAGTGGTGCTGTTGGGGTGAATGAATGAATGCACACATTGGTCAAACACGTTCCGCAACTCCCGCTGTTCGTCCTGCCTCTTGCCCCTCCCCACACTCTTGTAAATACCACCCCTGCCCACACTCCCCACACTCCCCACACGCTCTTTATCGCTGCAACACTTCCCACACTCCCTGCGCTCCACCCGTCCCTGCCAGTCCCTACATGCCCTACTTCAGAAGCAGCTCCTGCCAATGCCAGGTTTCCCTTGATTCCTGTCCCCCCACACGCTCTTAATTGCTGCAACACTCCCCACACTCCCTGCACTCCACCCGTCTTCGCCAGTCCCTACAGGCTCTACTCCAGAAGCAGCATCTGCCAATGCCAGGTGTCTTTTTAGTGTCGACTCAAAAGTCACTCCCCACACCCCCTGCATTTCCCACAACCCCTGCACTCCTACACTCACTGCACTCCCGCTGTCTCCACCAGTCCCTACAGGCTCTACTTCAGAAGCAGCTCCTGCCAATGCCAGGTGTCTTTTTAGTGTCGACTAAAAAATCACTCCCCACACCCTCCACACTCCCCACACTTCCCACACTCCCCCACACATTCCCTGCACTCCCCTCACTCCACCACCCGTACCCTCCAGTCCCTGCAGGCTCTACTTCAGAAGCAGCACCTACCAGTGCCAGGTGTCACACAGCCATTCGCCGCCGTCGCTGCAGCTGCCGCCGCCGCCGCTGCCGGTGCTGCTGGTGTTGGTGCTGCTGGTGGTGCTGCAGGTGCTGGTGGTGCTGCTGGTGGTGCTGCAGGTGCTGGTGGTGCTGCTGGTGGTGCTGCAGGTGCTGGTGGTGCTGGTGATGGTGGTGCTGCTGCTGGTGGTAGTAAGGGCAGCAGTGCTGCCACGGCTGCTGCTGCTGCTGCTGCTGCTGCTTCCACTGCTTCAGCGGCAGCGCCTATGGGTCCGAGGAACGAGCCCATCAGGGCACAGTCGCCATGGGCTCAGGGAAAGTCGGCACAGCAGCAACTCTCATCCCTGCAACAGCAACAGCAGCAGCAGCAGCAGCAGCAGCAGCAGGGAAAGTTTGCTCAGCCACAGCGTCAGCAGCATCAGCTGCAACACCCACAGCAAGCGCCGCAGCTCTCTGCTGCCTTCCCCATCCCTCGCCGCGGATCAAACCCCTCCCTCTCCGCCCACCCCTCCCTCTCCGCCCACCCCTCCGCCCACCCCTCCCTGCCAAAAACCCCTCTCTCCCGCCCCGCCTCTGGCCCTGACCTCCATACCCCCCCTCTCCCCTCCTCTCTCCCCTCTATTGCCTCTCTCCCGTCTCTCCCCTCTATCCCTTCTCTCCCCTCGTTTGTGTCACGGCATGATATGAATCAGCCCCCTCCTGCTGCCCCGGGCATGCCTCCTGTTGTTGCACCTCCTGTTACTGTCACGTCCTCTCTTGCTGCTCCCTCTGCTATTCCTGCTGTTCCTTCTTCTGCTGCTGCTCCTCCTATTGCTGCTTCTCCTTCTATTCCTGCCGCCCCTGTTTCTGCTGCTGCTGCAGTCGCAGTGGCAGTGGCAGCTAAACCCACCTCCTTAATCGCAGATTTAAATCAGGAACAGATAGCACCTCCCCCAGTCAACACCCGGCCGGATGCCTCTTCAAAAGGGCAGGAGAAGTCGGAGAGAGGGGGCGGTGGTGGGGACTCAGGAGGAGAAGGAGGGGGACGGGGATGGCTAGACTTGGATTTAAATGCTGGTCCGGAGGCAGGGGGGGAGGAGGAGGCGGAGGTGGAAGAACATGGGGAGGTGGGGGAAAAGGAAGAGGTCGGGGGAAAGGGAGCGACGGAGGGGAAGGGGGAGGCGAGGGGAAAGGGGGAAGCAGGAGGAAGAGAGGAGGTAGGGGAAGGCGAGAAGGAGGTAGGGAGGGAGCGACAGCAGCAAGTGGGGAAGCTGGGAGGGCCTTTGGCAGAGGAGGGGAGTGGGAAAGAGGCACCAGCAGGAAGAGAAGATGCGGTTTTGGGTGGTGGGGTGGGTGAAGAAAGGAGTGAAGAAGGGTCGAACAGAGTTCCTGCCACTGGCCCTGCTGCTGCTGGATCAGCTACAGCTGCTGGTAACGCTCTAGGTACTGTTACTGCTACAGCTACGGCTATTGCTTCTGGTATAGCTACAGCTGCTGCTGCTGCTGCTGCTGCTGCTGCTGCTGCTGCTGCTGCTGCTGCTGCTGCGACAGCCACAACAACAGCGGGTGAGGCTGGTGGTTCTTCTGTTGCTGTCGCTCCTGTGTTCTCCCCTGCCTCTGCTCCATCTCCTGCTGCGACAGCCACAACAACAGCGGCTGAGGCTGGTGGTTCTTCTGTTGCTGTCGCTCCTGTGCTCTCCCCTGCCTCTGCTCCATCTGCTGCTGCTACCGCTGGGTCAAAACCGCCCCTGCTTGCAGCAGAGGGTGTCGCCGCAGCAACTGCAGCAGCAGCAGCAGCAGCAGCTGGTGTAGCAGAAGTAACTGCAGCAGCAACTGCCGCAGCAGCAGCAGCAGGTGTAGCAGCAGCACCAGCAGTCGCAGGGTCCGGGAGTGCGGTAGTGGCATCTGGGGTTGGAGCAGGGAGGGAAGCAGGAGGTGTGCTGATCAATCCTGTGAAGGCAGGAGTTGGGGTAGAGACAGGAGTAGCGGCAGGTGCAGGGGCAACGAAAACAGAGGCAGCAGGGGCAGGGGCAGCAGGGGAAGGAGTTGGGGTAGAGGAAGGGAAAGGGGCAGGGGCAGGGGCCGGGGCAGGGGCAGGGGCAGCAGGGGCAGGGGCAGCAGGGACAGGGGCAGCAGGGGCAGGAGCAGCAGGGGCAGGAACGGCAGGGACAGGAGTTGGGGCAGGAGCAAAAGAAGGGGCAGGGGCAGTGGCAGGAAGTGAGAAGGAGGGGCAGGCGCAGGGGCAAGAGCAGGTCTCTAAAGCAGAGCTTGTGGGGAGCGCTGCTGCTGGCACGATAGGCAGTTGTGAGAGTAACTTGCCAGAGCAACTGGAGCAGAAGGAGCTTCACAAGCAAATGCAAACAGCTGCGGCTGGTTCGGAAGCCACTGTAGCAGCGGTGCAGATGGAGACACCTCAGGTCGCCCCTCAGGTTGCCCCTCAGGTTGCTTCGCAAGTTGCCCTTCAGGTTGCATCTCAGGTTGCCCCTCAGGTTGCCTCTCAGGTTGCCCCTCAGGTTGCCTCTCAGGTTGCCCCTCAGGTTGCTTCGCAAGTTGCCCTTCAGGTTGCCCCTCATTTTGCCCCTCAAGTTGCTCCCCAGGTTGCTTCTCAGGTGGATCCGCATTTATCTCAGGAGCAGGTGAAGACTACGGGCGAGGGGGGGCGCAAGAGAAAGGCTCCTGAGGATGGGTTAGAGGAGGGAGTGGTTGCTCCTCAGGTTGTTTCTCAGGTGGGTCCTCAGGCAGCTCAGGAGCAGGTGGGGACTGCGGGCGAGGGGGGGCGCAAGAGAAAGGCTCCTGACGATGGATTGGAGGAGGGAGTGGTTGCTAAGAGGAGGGAAGAGGAGAGAGGGGAACAGAACAAGAAAGAGGAGGAAGGGGAGGGGGAGAAGGAGAAGGAGAAGGAGAATGAGGAGGATAAGGAGAAGGAGAGGGAGAAGAGGAAGGAGAAGGAGAAGGAGATGGAAATTAAGTTGTTAAAAAGGCCACTGCCAGTAGCCCAGGCGTCTCAGGCTGTAGCACAGCAGGCTGTTGCAGGGGAGGCTGTAGCACCACAGGCTGTAGCAGAGGAGGCTGTAGCACTGCAGACTGTAGTACAACAGGCAGCACCACAGGCTGTAGCACCACAGGCTGTAGCACCACAGGCTGTTGCGGGGGAGGCTGTAGCACCACAGGCTGTAGCAGAGGAGGCTGTAGCACTGCAGGCTGTTGCAGGGGAGGCTGTAGCACCACTGGTTGTAGCAGAGGAGGCTGTAGCACCGCAGACTGTAGTACAACAGGCAGCACCACAGGTTGTAGCACCACATACTGTAGCTCAACATGCTGTAGCACCACCGGCTGTAGCACAGGCGGTTGTGGCACAGGGGGCTGCACCACAGGCTGTAGCACCACAGGCTGTAGCACCACAGGCTGTAGCACTACAGGCTGTAGCACTACAGGCTGGAACACCACAGGCTGTAGCACCACAGGCTGTAGCACCACAGGCTGGAACACCACAGGCCGCCGTAGCACAGGAGATTGTAGCACAGGAGATTGTAGCACAGGAGATTGTAGCACAGGAGATCGTAGCACAGGAGATTGTAGCAGAAAAGACTGGAGAGGGGGCTGTTGCAGAGAAGATTGCAGAGGGGGCTGTAGCAGAGAAGGCTGTTGAGGGGCCTAAGGCTGCAGAGGGGGCTGTAGCAGAGAAGGCTGTTGAGGGGCCTGAGGCTGCAGAGGGGGCTGTAGCAGAGAAGGCAGTTGAAAAGGCTGTAGCAGAGAAGGCTACAGAGGAAGTGAAAATGTCAGGACGGAAAAGAGTATGGCTAGACCTGGAGGAACCGGCTAAGGGGTTAGAGGAACCGGCTAGGGGGTTGGAGGAACCGGCTAAGGGGTTGGAGGAACCGGCTAGGGGGTTGGCGGAACCGGCTAGGGGGTTGGAGGAACTGGCTAAGGGGTTGGAGGAACCGGGTAAGGGGTTGGAGGAGGAATGCGGAAGGGATGACGGAGGGAAGGGGAATGGAGGGAAGGAGAAAGTGGATAAGGAGGAGGAGAGTGGAGGGAAGGAAGAGAGAGAAGAAAAGGAAGAGCGGAGAGAGCAGGAGATAGTAGGGAAGGAAGAGAAGGAGACATCAGGTAAAGAGGCTGTAGTGAAGGAAGAGAGGGGAGGGAAGGAGGATATGGAAGGGAAGGATGAGAGAGGAGACAAGGAGGAAATGAGAGGAAAGGAAGAGAGGAGAGAGATGGAGGAGAGGGGAGGGAAGGAGGAGAAAGAAGGGAAGGAAGTGAGGGTAGAGAAGGAGACAGTAGGGAATGAGATAGTAGGGAATGAGATAGTAGGGAAGGAAGAGACGGGAGAGAAGGAGGAGAGGGAAGGGAAGGAGGAGAGTGGAGGGAAGGAAGTGAGGGGAGAGAAGGAGACAGTGGGGAACGAGATAATAGTAGGGAAGGAAGATAAGGGAGAGAAGGAGGAGAGGGAAGGGAAGGAGGGGAGTGGAGGGAAGGAAGTGAGGGGAGAGAAGGAGACAGTGGGGAACGAGATAATAGTAGGGAAGGAAGAGACGGGAGAGAAGGAGGAGAGGGAAGGGCAGGAGGAGAGTGGAGAGAAGGAGAGGGGTGAAAAGGATGAGACATTAGGTAAGGAGGAAAGGGGAGGGAAGGAGACAGCAGGGAAGAAGGGAGTTAAGGAGGTAACAGTAGGGAAGGAAGAGAGGGGAGGGAATGAGGAGAGGGGAGTGCGGAGAGTAGGTGTGAGTGTAGAGGGAGAAGGGATGGGAGAAGGGAAGGGAGAAGGGAAGGAAGAAGGGAAGGAAGAAGGGAAGGGAGAAGGGAAGGGAGAAGGGAAGGGAGAAGGTGGAATGCCTGAGATGGTGGGTGGGGTCAAGGAGAGGGGAGAGGGGAGTGAAGAAGAGAAGAGTAGAGAGGAGGGCGAGAGTGGGAAGAGGAAAGAGGGGGAAGAAGGTGGGGAGAAGGAAGAGGGAGAGAGGGGGAAAAGGAGAGAGGGGGAAGAGAGCGGATCGAGGAAAGAGGAGGGAGAGGGTATTGGGGAGGCTTGTCAAGTTGAGAGGGTGGGATTGAGGACAGAGAAAGAGCAGGTAGGTGGCGCAAGGGTAGGAGGGGGGAAGGAGCAGGAGGGTGGGGAGACGGCAGGGAAAGAGATCGCTGAGGGTTTGGTGGTTGGGGAAAGGGCAGGAGGGGAGAAGGAGCAGGAGGGTGGGGAGATGGCACGCTGTGATGCAGGGAAAGAGTTTGTTACGGGTTTGGTGCAGAGGAGTGGTGTGCAGAGGAGTGGTGTGGATTTTTCAGTGGTGCCTAGCACAGAGGTTCTTGTGGGGGGAAAGGCAGGCGTGGTGAAAGCAGGGAAGGTGGGAACAGGTGAGGAGAAGACAGGACAGGAGAAATCTGGGGAGGCGAGAGCAGGGGGGGAGGAGATGGGGGAGGAGGAAATGGGGGAGGAGAAATCAGAGAAGAAGGACGGGAAGGTGAACACAGGGGAGGAGAAGGAAAGGGTATTACCTGAGGGAATAGTTGGAGCGCCGGCAGAGAGAAGAGAGTTTGAGAAGTTACCAGGGAAGGACGGTGATGCAGGGAAGGAAGAGGAAGTGAAGGAAGGAAGGAACGTGGAGGAGGGGAGGAAGGGAGAGGGAGAAATGGAGGAGGTGCAGGAGGAAAGGAAGGGGGAGCGAGAAAAGGAGGTGGAGGAGGAAACGAAGGGAGTGGAACAAAAGGGGGAACTGGAGGAAGGAAGGAAAGGAGAGGGAGAAAAGGAGGTGGAGGATGGAAGGAAAGGGGAGGGAGAAACGGAGGTGGAGAAAAGGAGGAAAGGATGGGGACAAAAGGAGGTGGAAGGAGGAGAGAAGGCAGCAGAGGTGGAGGGTGGCAGGGAGCAGCGACGGTTGATAGAGATGGGCTCAGGTCTTGGTGCTTCTGTTCCTCTTGTTGCCCCTGCTGCTCCTCTTGCTGCTCCTCCTGCTGCTCCTCCTGCTGCTCCTCCTGCTGCTCCTCCTGCTGCTCCTCCTGCTGCTCCTCCTGCTGCTCCTCCTGCTGCTCCTCCGGCTGCTCCTGCTCCTTCTCCTGAAGTTGCTGCTCTTGCTCCTGCTGCTGCTTCCGCTTCTGCTGCTGCGTCTTCTCCTGCTCCTATTTCAGCCCCTGTTGCTGTCTCTAATTCTGCCTCTGCTGCTCCTCCTGGTTCTGCTCCTCCTGCTGTGTCTGCTCCCCCTGCTCTTCCTGCTGCTACTGCTCCTGTTGCTGCTCCTGCTCCTCCTGCTCCTTCTCCTGCACCTGCTGCTGCTGCTTCGCCTGCTCCTGCTGCTGCTTCTGCTTCTGCTCCTGATGCTGTTTCTGCTCTTCCTGCTCTTTCTGCTCCTGCCGCTTCTGCTCCTCCTGCTGCTTCTGCTCTTCCCGCTCTTTCTGCTCCTGCTGCTGGTGCGAAGAAAGAAGCAGGGAAGGAGGGTGCGGCACAGCTTGGCTCTAAACAGGCAGGTTCATCTGAGGAGCAGGAAGTAGCAGAGGGTGCGGCGCAGGTGGACTCTGAACAGGCGGGTGCATCTGAGAAGGGGTCTGCCGGTAGCAAGATGGCTGTAGCAGTGAGAGTGGGTGAAGCTGTGAAGGAGGCTGGAGGTGCGAAGGAAGAAGCAGGGAAGGAGGGTGTGGCACAGCTTGATTCTGAACAGCCAGGTTCATCTGAGAAGGGGTCTGCCGGTAGCAAGATGGCTGTAGCAGTGAGAGTGGGTGAAGCTGTGAAGGAGGCTGGAGGTGCGAAGGAAGAAGCAGGGAAGGAGGGTGTGGCACAGCTTGATTCTGAACAGCCAGGTTCATCTGAGAAGGGGTCTGCCGGTAGCAAGATGGCTGTAGCAGTGAGAGTGGGTGAAGCTGTGAAGGAGGCTGGAGGTGCGAAGGAAGAAGCAGGGAAGGAGGGTGTGGCACAGCTTGATTCTGAACAGCCAGGTTCATCTGAGAAGGGGTCTGCTGGTAGCAAGATGGCTGCAGCAGTGAGAGTGGGTGAAGCTGTGAAGATGGTTGGAGGTGAGAGGAGAGAAGCAGAGAAGGAAGGTGCGAAACAGCCTGACCCAGAACAGGCGGGCTTATTAGTGGAGGAGTCTGCAGGTGGGAAGGTGGTTGCAGCAGTGGGAGGTGGAGATGAGAAAATTGTTGCTCCAGAGAAGGTGGTTGGAGGTGCGAAGGGAGAAGCAGTAGGGAAGGAGGGTGCGGAACAAGAGGACCCAGAACAGGGCGGTTGGATTAAGAAGCAGCCTGCCGATGGGAAGGTGGTTGCAGCAGCGAGAGAAGGTGGAGGTGAGATAACGGTTGGAGCAGAGAAGGTGGCTGGGGGTGTGAAGGGAGAAGCAGGGAAGGAGGTTGCAATACAAGAGGACCCAGAACAGGTGCAATCATATGAGAATGAGCCGACAGGTGGGAAGGTGGATGCAGCAGTGGGAGAAGGTGGAACAGAAAGAGCAGCAGGAGGTGCGAAGATGGTTGGAGGTGAGAATGGAGAAGCAGGGAAGGGAGGTGCTAAACAGCCTGACTCGGAACAGGCTGGTTCATTAGAGGAGGAGTCTGCAGGTGGGAAGGTGGTTGCAGCAGTGGGAGCAGGTGGAGGTGAGAAATCAGTTGAACCAGAGAAGGTGGTTGAGGGTGGGAAGGGAGAAGCAGCAGGGAAGAAGGGTGCAAAACAAGAGGACCCAGAACAGGCTGGTTCATCTGAAAAGGAGTCTGCAGGTGGGAAGGTGACTGCAGCAACGAAGGTTGTTGGAGGTGTGAAGGAGGGTGGAGGTGCGAAGGGAGAGCCAGGGAAGGAGGGTGCAATACAAGAAGTCTCAAAACAGGGGGGCTCATCTGAAAAGGAGTCTGCAGGTGGGAAGGTGACTGCAGCAACGAAGGTTGTTGGAGGTGAGAAGGAAGAAGCAGAGGGTGCGGCACAACTGGACTCAGAACAGGCGGGTTCATCTGAGAAAGGGGTTGCATCTGGGAAGGTGGTTTCGGCATCGGAGGTGGTTGGAGGTGCTAAGGAAGAAGCAGGGAAGGAGGGTGGGAAACAACTGGAGTCAGAACAGGCAGGTTCATCTGAGAAGAAGCCTGCAGGTGGGGAGGCGATTGCAGCATCTGATGTGGAGCTTGAAGGTGTGAAGGGAGAAGCAGGGAGGGAGGGTGCAAAACAACTGGACTCGGAACAGGCGGGTTCATCTGATGAGAAGGAGCGTGCAGGTGGGGAGGCCATTGCCGTTGTGAGAAGCGGTGGAGCTGAGGAGGTTGTTGGAGGTGTGGAGGAAAGCGCATCTGAGAAAGCACCTGAAAAAGCACCTGAAGGACCACCAGCTGGGAGGGGAGATGCAGCTGGTAAAGAAACGGCACCAGGACAGGCACCTGTACCTGAGGAACGACCTGAGCCTGAGAGGGGGTTAGTGCCTGGAAAGCAGGTGGTGCGGGAGAAAGAAGCTCAGTCCGTGTTCCCATCTGCTCCTGAGGAAACACCTGAAGCTGACGAGGGTAAGGCACCTGATCTCGCAGCTGCAGGGGGGAAGGGGATTCGACCTGAAGAACCACCTGAATCTGTGCAACCACCTGAACCTGTGGAGCAACCTGAGTCTGTAAATACACCTGAAGCTGAGGGAAAGCACGCTGGTGCAGATAAGGTTGCCACAACAACTGACAAAGACCCTGCCTCTGTTGCAGCACCTGAGAAGAAGTGCCCACCTGGGGAAACACCTGATGTGATTAGTCTACTTGCAAAAACATATGAGGTGGAAGCAGGTGCTGCGTCAGGAGCTGTGACTGCTGGTGACTCAGTGGATATGGGAAAGGTGGATATGGGAAAGGTGGATATGGGAAAGGTGGATATGGGAAAGGTGGATATGGGGAAGGTGGATATGGGGAAGGTGGATATGGGGAAGGTGGATACGGGGAAGGTGGATATGGGGAAGGTGGATATGGGGAAGGTGGATATGGGGAAGGTGGATATGGGGAAGGTGGATACGGGGAAGGTGGATATGGGGAAGGTGGATGGGGGCAAAGCAGATGAAGGGGAGGCGGATGGGGGGAAGGGGGATGGGGGGAAGGCGGATGGGGGGAAGGGGTATGGGGGGAAGGCGGATGGGGGGAAGGGGGATGCGGGGACAGAACATGAGGGAAAAGCACCTGAGGGAGAGGCGCCTGAGGAAAAGGCACCTGAGGAGAAGGCACCTGAGCGGAAGGCACCTGAGGGGAAGGAATCCGAAGGAAAGGTGTCTGAGAGAAAGGCACCTGAGGCAAAGGCACCTGAGGAGAAGGCACCTGAGGTGAAAGCACCTAAGGAGGTGAAAGCACCTGAGGAGAAAGCACCTGAGGAGAAGGCACCTGAGGAGAAGGCACCTGAGGAAAAAGCACCTGAGGAGAAGGCACCTGAGGAGGAGTAGCATCTGCGATCGCCAGAGGTGTGGAGAGGGAGAGCAGCAGGGAGAGCAGCAGGGAGAACAGCAGGGAGAGCAGCAGGGAGAGCAGCAGGGAGAACAGCAGGGAGAGCAGCAGGGAGAACAGCAGGGAGAACAGCAGGGAGCAGCAGGGAGCAGCACAAGTTAGCAAAACTTAGAGCAAGGAAGGGTTGCGTCGAGGAGAATGGCACTGTGGTGCGTGCAGGCACCAGCGCACGGGCACACGGGCACTGTGGTGTGTGCATACAGGCACCAATGCACGGGCACACGGGCACACATCCCACACAGGCACTGTGATCCGCTCTCATACAGCTTGACTACCGGTAGCCACACAGCCTCTCATACAGCATTACTAGCCATAGCTTGATAGGAACGTTGTTACCAGCAGTCAAGCTATCCACGGTAGTAGTAGAATAGAGTTCTCTGCTGTGGAGAGTTGCCATAGCATCCGCACATACAGGTACACCCCGGGACAGGTTTCAGCTGCTTACAGCTATTAACTGGCAGCGCTAATAATGTTAGGTTATGCTAGAGGTGCTTTTGAAAGCACTTTTGCTTGGTTTCTTTCCTTGCATTTTTTTTTTTTTTTTTTTGGCAGCTTCTGGCTGCTTGGTTTTGGAGCTCAGCTGCTCATGCCCCTGACATAGACGTATATATTATATTTAGTTAGATTGACTGCTAGCGATTCTGTAGACCTAATTTTAAAAAACTTGTAGCAATTAGCCATTGACTTTGGTTTCTTCAACACGTACTGTGTAGATGTCTGATGTAGAACTTTACCTTTTCCTTTTACCGCATGCACTTTTGGTTGTGCTTGAATGTAGTTTACAAATTCTGATGCCTTAGGTTCGGTGTAAACCGTTGATCCTGCACCGATCGCGGGAGGGGACACAAGACATCCTTAGCATCTTTCATACGGTCAACACAGCATCGTCTACAGTATAGGCAGTACATCTCTCTGAGTTTGTCTGTTTCTTTCCAATTTGAATCACAGCGGACGTTTGGAGGGCATTCCCGGTCGCCTTGGGTACTTGGAAGCAGTTGGGTCAAGCTTCTTGTAGGTGACTGCTGTGCGCTGGTTGAATAATCAAGTACGGTAGTTCTGAATCACAGGGGCATTCCTGGCCGTCTCGGGTACTTGGAAGCAGTTGGCTCGAGCTTCTTGTAGACGACTGCTGTGCGCTGGCCGTTGGTGTTCGAAGATGCGACTGTGGTGGGATGAGGAGGGAAGAGAGGGGAGGGGAGGGGAGGGGAGGGGAGGGGAGGGGAGGGGAGGGGAGGGGAGGGGAGGGGAGCAATGAGCACATTGGTAGGCCTTTCAGGCCTTGAAGAGGAAGCTGTTGGATCAACCTTCTTGTAATTGACTGCTGTGCGCTGTCCGTTGGTGTCTGACGATGCAATTGCGGTGGTAGGAAGCTTCTAAGAATTCCCAAAAGATAAGTGCGAGGGACCATGTGGTAAGCAGTAAGTACCCACCCTCATAGATTCAAGCGAGTTGAGCACTGAGCAGGGGAGCTCTTAGAAGTTCTCAAAACCGAAGTGTGAAAGAGGTTAGCACGTGGTAAGTAATAAGAACGGACCTTCATAGGTTCGAGCAAGTTGTGCACCAAGCAGGGAAGCAGAGTTGGATGCTGCTGCCACCTCATCCTGTCAGGGGCACAGAGGAAAGCAGTGAATGCGAATGCACGGGGGGTTTGAGATGCCTCAAGGCTGTAAGGTATGCAGGACGAATGCTGCTGCAGGAAGCAGAGTTGGATGCTGCTGCCACCTCATCCTGTCAGGGGCACAGAGGAAAGCACAGGGGCACCTGAATTTATATCACCTCCCAGCAGCACCTGAAACGCCATCTGAAGATGAACCTGAGGGCTGGCCCCCACGGTATCTAATCACCTGAAGGGCACCTGAGGGCTAACCTGAGGGCTGGATCCTTTCCTATCCAGGCACCTGAAACGGCACCTGAGAACTAACCTGAGGGTTGGGCCCCTTAGCAGCTACGAAGGCACCTCCCACTCGAACCAGAGGCAGACACAATTCATCTGAAAATAGGGGTACGGGGAACAGGAACCAAGGTGCCAGGTGTCTTTTCAGGTGAAATCAACAGAGAAGCTGACTGCTGAGGGCACCCTCTTGACCCACCCCCTTCTTGACTAACTGAGTACCCTCATCTCCGCTACAGCCCCCACTACAGCCCGTGCTACAGCTCATGCTACAACCCATGCTACAGCCAATGCTACATGCCATGATACAACCCACGCTACAGCAACTGTTGACTTACTGAGCACTCTCATCTCTGCTACAGCCCCCCCTACAGCCTTTACTACAGCCCGTGCTACAGCCTGCGTCAGAGCCGCCGCTACAGCCCCTCTTAGTGCACGTAAGATCATTTCACTCACTGAGGACTCTCATCTCCGCTACAGCCCGCGCTACAGCCAGGTCGTAGGCCTCCCTGTGAACGGGGTCCCTCCCCACCTCCTGTAGAAGCATGGTGGGAAGGAGCGGTGGATGGGAATAAGATACAATCAAGAAGCTCAAAATAGAATAGAATGAACATTTTCTGTTCTCGAAAAAAAACAAAAACAAAAACAAACTTCCATCCCACACACCACTTGCACAGTTTTCAGTCCCAACCGGCGCACCACATGCGAGAGGAAATCGCATCTCTTGTTTGAAGAATCCTCCAGAACCATGAGGGCTTTTTCTGAGGGCTACTGTGCTTTGTCGTTAACACACTCACCTCTGCCCCCCCACACACCACTTGCACGTTCCATAGGCCCAGCTCCCGCACCACATGCGAGAGGAAGTAGCATCTCTTGTTCAGGGAAAGACCAGGGCGACCTGCTACGTGGGCTGTGCTGAGGGGATTATGCTGTGGTGTGACTTTAACTGCTAGGAACAGTGACCCCACTCACTCACCTCTGCTCTCCCACACACCACACCACGTGGGCTGCGATGTGGGGGCTGTGCTGTGGTGTGACTCTAACTGCTAGAAACAGTGCCAGCGCACATACACTCACCTCTGCTCTCCCACACACCACGTGGGCTGCGATGTGGGGGCTGTGCTGTGGTGTGACTCTTAACTGCTAGAAACAGTGCCAGCGCACATACACTCACCTCTGCTCTCCCACACACCACACCACGTGGGCTGCGATGTGGGGGCTGTGCTGTGGTGTGACTCTAACTGCTAGAAACAGTGCCAGCGCACATACACTCACCTCTGCTCTCCCACACACCACACCACGTGGGCTGCGATGTGGGGGCTGTGCTGTGGTGTGACTCTAACTGCTAGAAACAGTGCCAGCGCACATACACTCACCTCTGCTCTCCCACACACCACACCACGTGGGCTGCGATGTGGGGGCTGTGCTGTGGTGTGACTCTAACTGCTAGAAACAGTGCCAGCGCACATACACTCACCTCTGCTCTCCCACACACCACACCACGTGGGCTGCGATGTGGGGGCTGTGCTGTGGTGTGACTCTAACTGCTAGAAACAGTGCCAGCGCACATACACTCACCTCTGCTCTCCCACACACCACACCACGTGGGCTGCGATGTGGGGGCTGTGCTGTGATGTGACTCTAACTGCTAGAAACAGTGCCAGCGCACATACACTCACCTCTGCTCTCCCACACACCACACCACGTGGGCTGCGATGTGGGGGCTGTGCTGTGGTGTGACTCTAACTGCTAGAAACAGTGCCAGCGCACATACACTCACCTCTGCTCTCCCACACACCACACCACGTGGGCTGCGATGTGGGGGCTGTGCTGTGGTGTGACTCTAACTGCTAGAAACAGTGCCAGCGCACATACACTCACCTCTGCTCTCCCACACACCACACCACGTGGGCTGCGATGTGGGGGCTGTGCTGTGGTGTGGCTCTAACTGCTAGAAACAGTGCCAGCGCACATACACTCACCTCTGCTCTCCCACACACCACACCACGTGGGCTGCGATGTGGGGGCTGTGCTGTGGTGTGACTCTAACTGCTAGAAACAGTGCCAGCGCACATACACTCACCTCTGCTCTCCCACACACCACACCACGTGGGATGCGATGTGGGGGCTGTGCTGTGGTGTGACTCTAACTGCTAGAAACAGTGCCAGCGCACATACACTCACCTCTGCTCTCCCACACACCACTTGCACATTTTTGTGAGTCCCAACCGCTGCGCCACATGCGAGAGGAAATCACATGTCTTGTTTAGCGACTCAACCAGAGTGACATGCCGCGTGGGCTGTGCAGTACTGTGCATGCTGTTCAGTGGGGCTGTTCAAAACGGTGCTACCCCCCACGCACTCACCTCTGCTCTCCCACACACCACTTGCACATTAGTCAGCCCCAACCGCTGCACCACATGCGAGAGGAAATCGCATCTCTTGTTTAGAGATTCCACCAGGGTGACGTGCCACGTGGGCTGGGCCACTGCTAGCACGATCCCTGGCAGCCCCGCTCCCGTGCCCACATCCACCAATCGCAGCGCGCCATGTGGCACAGCAGGGGAGGGTGCGACAGAGGGGGGTCCTAGAGGACGCTCAGAAGCAGGGGGCGCGGTGGAGAGTGGTGAGGTGGGGAGTGATGCGGTGGTGAGTGGTTCAGGGGGAATTGGCGCGGTAGCGAGTGGTTCGGTAGGGAGGGGTGTGGTCGGATGGGGCGCGGCGGGGAGCGGTGCAGCAGCAAGTGGCACGGTTGAGAGCGGTGGTGCGGTGAGGGCCAGGATAACAGGGATGAGCGTTAGAGAGTCGGCAATGTGGCGCTGCTCTGCCTCTGCGCGACTAGTGACTGCTGTCAGGTTCATGCGCTGATGGGGGTTTGAGAGAGGTGGAAGGGGGGGAGTAGAGAAGAGGAATCAGGGGAAGGGAGTCGGCAATGTGGCGCGCTCTGCCTCTGTGCGACTGGTGACTGCTGTCAGGTTCATGCGCTGATTGGAGGGTGGAAAGTGTGTGTGTGGGGTGGGGGGGGGGAGAGTGGGGAGGGGAGGGAGTGGGGAGGGAGGATGAGTGAGAGCGAGTCGGCAATGTGGTGTTGCTCTGCCTCTGCGCGACTGGACACTGCTGTCAGGTTCATGCGCGGATGGGTGTTGTGTGGGGCAGAGGGAGGGAAGAAGTGGAGGGGGGAAACGCTTATTCCAGGCACCCAAAACCCTGAATAAAACCCGAACCCCTGACAACCCTTTGTATTGATTGAACCAGTCAAGAAGCAAACGAAAAGATGTTTGGTTCACCTGAAAAACGACCTGAAAAATCACCTGGTTCCAGTCTAAGAGCAGGTCGAGGTAGAGCGCGAGGCGCTGCTGCTGCCTGGGAAGCAGGTGGGGGAGGGCGGGCGGCGGGGGGAGCACCGCGGGCAAGGGGGAGGAGAAGAGCGGAAAGGCGGGCGGGGCGGGGGGATCGGGGGGGGACTTTGGCGGAAGGGAGGCGGATTCAGTGGAGGGGGAGGTGGATCTGGGGGAGGTAGGTCTGGAGGAAGTGATTCCTGGATCAGTGTCAAGGCGTTCTGTCTGCCGTCTGTTCTTGCTACTGATACCTCGTCCTGCTCTGCTACTCCTGTTGGTGCTGCTGCTGCCGCTGCTGCTGCTGTTGCTGCTATGGCGGTTGCTGCTGCTACCGCGCTCCGTTCTGTTACCTCCCGTGCGCCCGCTGCTGCTGCGACTGCTAGCGCTGCTGCTGCTGCTGATATCGCTGGTAGCCCTGCTGCTGCAAACCCTGACATCGCTCGTCACCACGCTTCCGCATTCCACGGCGTAATTCGCGGCAAGTCTCGCGGCATGGTACACAGCAGCTCGCACATGGCAGGTCGCGAACGGTTTGCTCAAAACAAATGAGCTCATGACACGTGGTTTAGTACGGAACGGTTGGAGAGGCGTTGGATGGGATGCGCTTGTATATTGTGACACCTAAGCACGCAGACTTGGAACGGTGATGGGGAATCACACACTGACTGGAAACGTCGTCGTCCCCTAATTTAATAAGTCGCGCAGTCTAACCCGCTGTTTTTGCGGAGGTAATACGATTTTAGCGGGTGTTGCTAGCTGGCACATCGAGTCTCAAAAGCACAAAATTTAGGCCTCTTGTGCATCTTGCTGAAACGTGTTCAGCCTTGTTACAAGAGCAATCCTGACCTTTGAGGGTTTTCGCGACTCACTTTCGCATGAACCTAACCAACCTGCGACAGAACGTGCTTTGCGAAGCAAACGACGAGATTCCAAGTTTCGCGAAACCCGATCAAGGAAGAGATGCCACCACTACCAGAGCTGCTTCGAGGTGGGAAATTTGACGAAAGTATTGACGTGTTACCTGATTTTGTGTGTGTGTTTGCGTGCCAATTTGCAGGAAGTCATGGGTAGGCTTTGGTTCCCGTGTCGCAAGCACACCAACGCGAACGCGACACGAAAGTTGGATGCGAAGCGGGCGAAAGCGAGGTTCCGAAACTGAATGCAAAATTGCAGACGAAGGCAGCTGAAAATCGCGCGGACTTGTAAACTTGGAGGACGGGACGGGAGGGTGATGCAAGAACGTAAAGCCCCTTCCATTCAACGCGGAACCATAGAATAAGCAGCTCAATCCTTAGGCAGTGAGTGAGTCCCGTATAGGTCGTTAGGTTGATAATTCAGCGGACCCAGAGATACGACAATTAGCTGAGAGACGGGGCGTTTTATTGCTCAAGATTGACCCAACAATGAAGCATAATATCCGTTACAGAACAAACGGGTTCCATTTTAGAAGGGCAGGGAGATCAGCCCACAGCAGAAGACACAGCCCACCAGAAAAGCGGCGAACGGAACCAGCCGACCAATTAGCGCAGTATGGATTCAGTTCGCCGAGAAGAGGAGAAGACGCGGCCCACCGACGGAAGAGCCGCAGCGAGGAAGAGCAGAGCAGCCCACCAAAAGAGAGACGAGAACCAGCCCACCAGCAGAAACAAAACGAGGAGACCAGGACGGGTGACGCTATACCTTACAAGGAAACCGGTCCGGTGAGACCCGTTGGATTACAGCAGTCGATTCAGTCGATTCTACTCTGTCAGCGGAAGCGCCTTCCCGCTGAACGCGGAGAATCTGCAATCCGCAGCGAGGACGGACGAAGACTCGTAGTCTGCAGTCTTCCCGTCCAGGAACCCCGCGCCCTCCGCCGCGTCCGCCGCGACGGGGTGTCCGAGCGCGTGCGCGAGCGTGTTGTAGTCCATGGCGCGCTTCTCGCGGCCCTCGCGGTACGTCTGTCCGATGATTCCGTGCACCTGCTCCGTCGCCTCCACGCCGTCGAACGCCAAGTTGATGTGCGCCTCGGCGTCGTCAGGTGTTTGCAACAGAGGGTGCGCGACGCGCAGTTTGATCTCCATGTCCAGAAGCCCCGCAATAGTCACACGGTACACGTCCTTCACGAACCCGCCAGACTCGACCCCGACATAAGTGAAGGCGAGGCCTCCGGGGAGCGAGAGAGTCTCCCCTTCCTTGGTCATGCGCGGAAGGGCCTTCCCGTCGATCTCCGCCAGATCCAGGAACCCGTCGCCGCGCTCCTGCTGCTTCCCCGCGCGCGCAACCAGGCGGAACTTGTGCTCCGCCTCCCCAGCCGCCGCGCGCCACACGAACCCGAGCGCGCGGATCCACGTGCGCACAGCCTTCCCGTTGCGCAGAACCGTCGCGCCGACGGTGCGCGTGTCGTAGTATCCGCGCATCTGCATGTTCACGTGCACGTTGCTATCGGTCAGCAGGCAAAACGTCTTCTCCGGAGCGCCGTTGAACTCGAAGCGCGTGCCCTGCGCGCCCTGGAAGTGCGGGTCATTCTTGGTGTAGGGGCAGCTGCCGCCGATGCGCGAGCAGTTGTACTTGATACGGTAGCCGTTGTTGTTGTCCAGCTGAGTCTCGCACCGCGGCGCCGTGCCGGGCGGGTACAGCCAGCAGATACCGCACTTGAGGCACTTGCCGGACGGGTTCACGGTTCTGCGCGAGGAAAAAACAGGAAATTGGAAAAAGGAAATTAATTAGAGATAATGGGTTATGGTTTCGGGTGGCGCGAAAAGCACACACAACAGGGAAAGATAATTGCGACCCCATCGACGCCGATCCCTCATCCTTCCGTCGTAGTAACAGGCCGAAACGCGGAAGAAACTCGCGAATTCACTCACCCAATGTAGTGCTGCCACATGGCACACGGCTCCTTGCTGTCGGAGCACGCCTTGCAGCACTGCGACGGCGTGAGCTCTCCGATGCACCATTCGTTGTTGGGCTTGGGGTTGGCGCGCCCCGGCGGGCACACGAGCGACGACTGCTCGGGGAGCTGCGCAAGGTGACGGTCATAGGACAGGTGGCAAGCAGCACGATGGAAATCGGAGTTTAGAACGACATAAAAGATACGAGTTTAGAACGGATCAGCCATGGATCGCCTATGCAGCGATGGGAGCATAGAGCAAATAGATGATCGAAGCACGACTCGACACTCACCCTCCAGCGGCCGAGGATGCCGGCCGTGTCGTTGCACATGCCGCCCGAGCAATAGTGCTTGAAAGGTGGGCAGGCCTTAAGCGGGCAGGTCGGGTACTCCTGGTCGTTGTACCAATCGATCAAGTCCGCAGATGTGCCCTGCCCGTTGCCGTTCTGGTTGTTGTTCCCGGCGGAAGAGAGGATGATGTTGCCGTTCGCGTCATACTCGTAGTTGGACTGAGACGATTGCTCCGCGCCAGCAGCGTTTCCAGCAAGAACGAAGGGTAGAGAAAGGGAGAGGAGTAGCACCGCGGCAAACACGGAGCTGGAAGCCATGGCGGAAAGACGTAACTCCTTTGATGACGGTTCCTGGAAAATGGAAAGATGTCACTGAGGATGAGAAATGAAGTGAGCTCCGCAGTGCTTTTATGTTCGAAATTCAGCAACCTGATGAAGGTCGCAGCCTGGAAATGGAAAAGTTTGGATTGGAGAAAACGAAGCGGTTGAGAATCGCGACTCCGAAGTCGCGTCGCAGGACAGACATTCAGGATGTAGGGCGAGCAAGCGTTTTGGAACATGAAGGCAAACAAGCAAATCGTTAGGACAAGAAAACTCATAAATATGTATTTCGTAAGCATAATGAGCTAGTATGTAAATAACAACAATGTAGGAGATTGTTACATGTTTTCTGTACAATGTAGCCCTAAACTGACGGCAAGTGGAGAAAACAACTTCCAGTTTCACCCGATGAAGCCGAAAATGTCAACGAAATCTGACCGCAATGTCAAAGCTGTGAGATGAGAAGAATGGGGGGGGGTGTCACGTCGCGCCAAGATGCACTATGGGAAGAAGCGACAAGCTTTGCGACCGCAATTGTATCCACACTCACACCCGACAGAAAGGTTGACTCAGATTGCAATCAAATAGGTCCGCAATGGAAATAAGCCGATGCCCATTGTAGCAGATACTGATACCCACACACTAGCAGATAAGCGACTTAGGAGTCTTTCCGTAAAAATATGGTCCTCCTTCTGTCTGCCCAAACACTCAAGGGTTATCAGAGCCTCAAAATTTCAAGGCTGGAATTGTTCGCCAACCTACTGCTCGCTGGATTCCAAACCAAACCCCAACGACCGGGCCACCAAACCAAAGCAGACAAGCCTCACGCACAGAATCCAGTGTCTCCCTTCATCCCACACCTTGATGTTTGGACGGCAATACCGCCCACTTCCGCATACTATTTTCACAAAAGGACGGACATGTTTCTTGGTGGTATCTCAGGTGGAAGACGTTCCCTTTTGGGACCAGGTGGGTCCCAAGTGTCCGCCTGACAGTTGAGAGCAGGAGTTTCTACAGGTGGCAGTCGAGGTTAAAACAGGCTAGACCTAGGTGCAGTATTGTCGAAAGCCAGGCTAAAAAACAGATACGCCTTCACGAGTCCAATCTGTATGATGTCGGGTTTATGAAGGTCGGGTCCGGTGTACATGCGGCGCGATGCACCAGGATGTCATTCTTGCAAACCCTCGGGTACACTAAATTATCCGTTTGTAGAAACCCACCACGCCAGGAGCGTATCAACAGTGTCATATAAAACTTTGCATTTACGCGATTCAATTCAACTAAGTGAGATATGTTTTAACTCGGTCAGTGAACTCTTTGGAATGGCTGGGTAGGGTACCGGTGTTCAGGAAAGGTGAAGATTTGGGACCTCCCTCTCGACTGCCACCTTCTAGGGAAGGTTTTAATCAACTCGCCGAATACGTCCGAGGAACAATAGTTGCTTACGCAGATTTTTCTAGTGGAAAACAGGGTCTATGTATGCTGTTATACAGAACATTCAGTCCTGTCCTGTGCACGTATATAGTTTGAATATTGACACAGGTACACGGCATCATCCAAACTAACACATGCACAGGTCACTTAACATAGGCCACTGAAGGAGAAGCATAAGGAATTGCCTTAGGGCGACGCTCGTTTTTAAGTGTCTTTACTTACTAGCAGCAGCCAGCTACAACTTCCACGCAATAGGGAGAAACCCCCTTCTACACACACAATGTCTGCCCAAAAAAACTACATCGCAAACAGGAACCTAGGCTTTATTATGGAAACTCAAGCCAGTCGACTCTATGCAGCCTTGGGCTTGGAGGACTTGGCACGAGAATATGCAAACACACCACCCAGGGCAATCGCAGTGCCTACAAGCAGCAAGATAGGGGGGGGGGGAAGAAAGAAAGAAACGAGAACAAAGACAAAGCAGTTCCATTTGTAAATGACAAGTGCCACCAAAAAACGCCGCTACAATGAGGCTTGTTGGCCGTCTTGCGTGCACGTACTGGCAGCGTTGATTGGGTAGGGTGGGGAAGAGGATCAGATATGCGACTCTAAAGCAGGCCCTCCTCACCAAAACGTGACTAAAACGAGGGTTTGCTTGCCCCTATGCAATGAATTGGCATTGATGGGTTCAGGAATAGAGCAAGGATGTGACTACAACAATGGCCTCCTTAACACAGATGTGACTGTAATGAATGCTGGCATATACGAAGCACGTACCGACGGCGTTGATTGGTGAGACGGGGGTTCGGAAGAAGAGATGTGACTATAACGATGGCTCTCTCAAAGCAGATGTGACTGTAACGAATGCTGGCAGGTAGGAGGTTGGTAGGTACGTACCGACGGCGTTGATGGGGGAGACGGGAGTTCGGAAGAAGAGCACGGATGTGACTATAACGATGACCCTCTTAACACAGTTGCCAACCGAGTGGGTGACTGGGGAGACACGCTGCAGAATCATGTAGGACACCTGGAGGGAAGGGAAGTGAGGGAAAGTTGGAGAGGGGACCAGGTTGACTGGAATGACACACAAGGACTGACAGGGAGTGGCCGGCAATGTGGGTGACTGGGAAGACAGGCTTAAGGATCAAGTGGTGGAGGAAAGGGAAGGGAGGCGGGCAAGAGAGCAGCAAAGAGACTGGGGGGCAGAAAGAGAGCAAGAGAGATGGGGGGTAGAAAGAGGGAGGATTATAGGACGAAGTCTGATTTCCCCCGAAATGGAAACATGGACAGAGTTTGAATTGAGTCACAACTGCTGGTAGGCATGGAAGCACCCGTACCCGCTGGTAGGCTTGGAACCCATACCTGCTGGTAGGCTTGGAACCCATACCTGCTGGTAGGCTTGGAACCCATACCTGCTGGTAGGCTTGGAACCCATACCCGCTGGTAGGCTTGGAACCCATACCTGCTGGTAGGCTTGGAACCCATACCTGCTGGTAGGCTTGGAACCCATACCTGCTGGTAGGCGTGGAAGCAGAGAGCAGCGAGCGTGGATCGAACAAGCAGCCTTTGCACATCCACACCCTGGCGGAGTGGGAATCAGAAAAGAAGCGGAGGGGAAAGAAACGGAGGGGAAGGAAGGAAGGGGAGGGGGACCGAAGGGACGGGAGAACACAGGACATTTTACTAGGTGGGCCAGGGAGCAAGGGAGGAATGCAACAAGCGAGCAACAAGGGAAGAAAGCAACAACGTAGAACCATACAGACAAACATTGTGAGCCACATAACTTCGAATCTAGAGCCATATCATGTGAAACTAGAGCCATGTTGGGCCATACCGAAGCCAGCAAGTACGGGTTGAACTTGATGCCGACCCTGAGCAGCGTTACCACAGTGGAATCACACCAGAGTCAACGCACAGTCAACACTCAAAGCCCAAAGTCGCACCTGTGCTTGAAGCAGCGTGGGGCTGAACTTGATGCCCTCTGTGAGGAGAGCGACAGGTAGCGGTGGTGGTAGGGTCACACCACAGTGAACTTAAAGCCCAAGGCCCTCCCACAATAATCCTCACTATAAGCCTCACAGCATGACGACATGCCACCAAATCGTACCTGCGCCTGCAGCAGCGTGGGGCTGAACTTGATGCCCTCTGTGAGGAGCTTTCATGAGCATTCCCACCACAGTGCAGTGATAGCCCTCGAAGCCCAAGGCCCTCACACAAGAGTCCCCACTTAAAGCCCATGTAGTACCTGCGCCTGCAGCAGCGTGGGGCTGAACTTGATGCCCTCTGTGAGGAGAGCGACGGGCAGCAGCAGGAAGAAGGAGAGGACGGTGATGACGGAGAAGAGGTTTATGTTGTCCAGTGATGACTGGTGGGAGGGGGGAATGGGAGCACACAGGCACACCGGGGAACAGCATTAAAGAGGGAAGGCAGGAGCAGGAAGAAGAGAGGGAGGGAGAAGAGGGGGAAGACGTGGGTATGAGAGGGCGACCGGGTGAGGGAAGGAGGGGTAGTGGAGGGAGAGAGGGGGGGAGAGGGGGGATTGGGGGAGAGGGGGGGGTGGGAGGGTAAGTAAGAGAAGCAGGGAAAAAGTTTGATTTCGCTTACCATAACACTATCTCAGGGAAGGATAGAAACAGCAGGAAGGAGAGGAGGGTGATAACGGAGATGAGAATAGCGTGACGGTTAATAAAGGGGGAGGGGGGGGAGTGAGGGAGGCATAGAAGGGGTGCAGTTTCTCATGCCTTTCTTGATCACCAGTTACATGTTGAGAACTTTGAGAACGTTTTCTCTTACATCTTTCTTGATCATGAGCTTCTTGCTGAGCACGTTGCGCGACTGGAAGGTGAGGTTGGACGCCATGGCGGACAGGAAGCCCGCCCTGCATGCAGAGAGATGCAGAGGGGTGCGGAAGGGGGCAAAGGGGTGCAGAAGGGGGCGAAGGGGTTGGTAGGGATACAAAGAGACTGGAAGGTGAGGTTAGACGCCATGGCGGACAGGAAGCCCGCCCTGCATGCAACGATCAGTGGACGCAGGGAGTTGTGTGGAAGGGATGGTTCCAGAAGGGGACAAAGGGGTGCAAAAAAGGGGCAAATGGGTTGGAAGGGATACAAGAGAGTGGAAGGCGAGGTTGGACGCCATGGCGGAGAGGAAGCCCGCCAAGCTCGCAACAACCGGTGCAGAAAGGGGCTAAGGGGTTGTGATAGGGATACGAGAGAGGAAGGTGAGGTTGGATGGCATGGCGGAGAGAAATCCCGCCCTGCACGCAGAGAGATACACAGGGGTGCAGAAAGGGGCAAAGGGGTGCAGAAAGGGGCAAAGGGGTGCAGAAAGGGGCAAAGCGGTTGGTAGGGTGTTAGGCAGACAAGGGAGTGGAAGGTGAGGTTAGATGCGACGGCTGACAGGAAGCCCGCCTTGCAAGTGAAGAGATGCAAGGCATCCACTAGAGGTTAGATGCGATCCACCATCCAAGAGATGGTGAGGTTAGATGCGATGCACCATCCAAGAGATGGCTAGGTTAGATGCGATGCACCATCCAAGAGATGGCGAGGTTAGATGCGATGCACCAGAGGATGACGTGATTTTGAGTCGACTCAAAAACAAGTAATGTGGAGAGGTGGCTGCTGGGATGGGGAGGCGTTTTTAAGTGATATGGCATTGGCCAGCATGGCACTGCACAGCATGGCATTGCACAGCATGGCACGGTATGGCATGGCATTGCACAGCATGGCACGGTATGGCACGGCAGGAATCAGCAGAGCACAGCACGGCACATACCAGTTGAAGGAGGATTCGGTGGCAGGCAGAGGCGAACAACGATGCAGAGAAATAGCACCGCTTATCATGGCATGGCACGGCAAGGCATGACACAGCACAGCACAGCACAGCACAGCACCGAACTGCACCACACGGTACACACCAGTTGAAGGAAGATTCGGTGGCCGAGGCGAGCGCCACGCCTCCCACAATGGGCATGAGGGCGAGGATCACCGGCATCGTGGGTTGCTGGAGGGGATGTGAAGAGGAGTGGGGAGGGGTGGGGAGGGGTAAAGGGAGATTTGAGACACTTGAGAACTCTAAGCGCCACACCTTTGACGATGTGCATGAGTGCGAGGATCCCAGGCAGCGTGGGTTGCTGGAGAGGTCGAAGTTGCTAACGACAGGATGAAGGGAAGGGGGTTTTGAGACAATTGAGAAAAGAAAAGCTCGAGCGCCTTGATGGTGTGCGTGAACGACACTGCTGCCTTGCTCACACTCGCGCAACCCCCCCCCTTTCAACCCATCCTTGCTCAATTCCCTCCGCCTACCCCCCTCCAGGAACTCACCTCGCCGAGTAGGAGAGCAGACAGGGTGACGGAGAAGAAGGGTTCAAGAGCCTTGATGGTGTGCGTGAACGACACGGCCACCTTGCCCAGGCTGACGTTCGTGAATGCGTTGCCCATGGTGTGTACGACGGCTAGAGGCAGGATGGCCAGGAGCTGGAGGTGAGAAGAGGTGATGGGGCGATGAGGAAAGGGAGATGGGGATGGGGAGATGGGGATGGGATGGGAATGGGGAGATAGGGATGAGCGGGAGCAGGGAGGGAAATAAAGGGGGAATTGAATAACGGGACTGATAAAACTGGCATGGAAGCAGACGAGACGAGTGGATACGCGGGTGAGGTGATGAGAAGAGTGGGGATTAGGACACGTATCCTCACCTGCCCTTGCCCCACCTGCGCCTGTCTCACCTGCGCTTTGGAGATGGTGGGGCGCTTGACGATGTTGGTGGCCCACGAAAAGACAGCAGCACCACCATCGCCGTGCCTTTCAAGCCCACGCAAGGGTCGCCTCATTCCCCAACGCGCCTGTCTCACCTGCGCGCCTACCTCACTGGCCCGCGTGTCTCCCCTGCGCGCGGCTCACCTGCGCTTTGGAGATGGTGGGGCGCTTGACGATGTTGGTGGCCCACGACAGCAGCACCACGATCGACCCGATCGCGAATTGCACCGTCGTGATCGTCAGCGGGTACGGGAACACCTTGAGCACCTGCACGGGAGGAGAAAGGGGGGAAGCTGGTACAGAAATAAGCGGCCTTTTCAAACGATGCTTATTAGCGAGTTGCACCGTTGTGATGGTGAGCGGGTACGGGAACACCTTGAGCACCTGCACGGGAGGAGGAAAGTGGTAAGGCGGTACATGATTAAACGTTTGTTCTTCTACTCCTTTTCCCTTTTTGGGCGCAATTTCAGCGCCTTTCGGCGAGAAAAAAGTGACGCTTGACTGCTTTCGGCGCAATTTCAGCGCCTTAATCTGCACCCATCCCTTTCAATTCGTGAATCATTGAAGCACGACTTTATGTAGTGAATGAGGAGCAGATACCACATTCTTTCAAGTAGCTAGCTAGATCGCATTTTGTGAACGCCATTGGGCAACATTTCGCAACAAATCCACCTGCTTGTTGTAAATGTTGAAGTAGATGTTAAAGAGGTACCTCACGGCGCATGAAACCCGTCGGTTTGAAAAGTTACTTGTAGTGAAGCAATTACATTGAAAAAACAACGCACCTGCTTGTTGTAAATGTTGAAGTAGATGTTAAAGAGGTACCACAGCCCGAACAGCGATCCCAGCTGAATCGTTTTCGTCAGCTCGCTCTTCGCATCGCCTGATGCTGCTTCCGCCGTTTCGCCATCGCCGCTCCGCGTCACAACCGCTGATCGCTTGCTCCACGAAGCTTCGCGATTCTCGACCGCTGCTTCCGAGCGTAAGAGCGAATGGCGAAGCGGCGAGGTGGAAGATGAATTATCCGAGAAGGCTGCTGTGGGTCGCAATGCTGGCGAGGGAATAGCTTTTACGCTTCGATAAGAAACTGCTCTTAGCGGAGCATTTTTCACCGTGCTTAGGAAGGAGATTTGAGAGTGCTGTTGCTTGGTCGCTGAAACCGCACACGGTGATACTCCGACTGCAGCTGTTGCGGACGACGCAACGCGTAACGTAGCCATAACGAGTCAAGCAATTAGCACGGGTGTCACAGTAGAAAAAACACAGCACTAGAGGAAAGCCTCTAATTCCTCTGCCAGGCAATGTAAAACCAGCAAAATGCTAGAAGATGAAGGTTCTAGTTGCTGGTCACACTGGCAACCTGTCTCTGAATTCTGAAATTCTGCTCACTGCGCAAGTCTCCTTGCTCATGGTAAAACTGACCTATAAACCAGCCAGGATAAGTTTCACCTTCGGTTGTGTCATAAGCCTTACTTCAGTGCGGTTGAGTCAGCTGTCCTGCGTTTCAAGACGCACAATGTCAAGTCTAGAACGGTTGAATGGGTTTCCGAGAGAAACTTGCTCTCACCACTCCCTCCTTGGGGACCGACATCTGGTCAGGATCAGACTGGGAAGCTATGGGAAAAGCGCGGGGAGGAGGGGAGAGGCGGGGGAAGGTGCGGGGAGGGGGCGGGGACAGGAGGAGGTGGCGGAGGTTGCAGCGTTTGCCGATTGGCTGACACAGATCTCGTTCCCGCCTTTTCTCAAGACAGGGGTACCTTGGGAACAGGTCTGCACTTCGACGTGAAACTTCAGCCGAGGAAATTACGATTTTGGTTTTCCGAGTAAAGTTTGTTTTTTTGTGTGTGTGTTGATGTATTACATAGGTATGCATACATCGTCAGTGTTTTTGGGCATAATTTGACGAGATCTTCTGGTAGAACACAGCTGATGCAGAGGAATAAGAAGTTTATAAGCTGTTCAATAAGGCATATCCTTCTTCCCGAGTACAAAGTGCGGGAAAGCAAAAGAAAGGGGTTGCCCTGCCTCATGACGTTCTTATGCGACTCGCGCCAAGGTCCGCCACGGATTGGACGGAAATATCACATGCGGCCGAGGGAATCCAGCTACCACGTGCTTTTGCGTGCGGATAAACACCAATGGATGCATGCCAAGCGGCTGGCGATGTTATCCACCAGTAACATCCTGCTCATCACCCACGTCATGTCAAGCAGCTTGGAACAAAATACAGTCATTGCAAAGACGCAAGCATACGTATAAAAACAGAGTTCCATGTAGGAACAGTTTTGTGTTGTAACGAATTGTACTCAATTGAGCTGATTTCAGTCAAGCCCCCCTAGGCAAACAAGTGGCAAAACCACAACTAATTTGCTGCTTCTACTTATTCCTTCGCCCCATTTTGCTTCTGCGGCTGATCAGCTTTTGCAGCTAGGTCATAAAAGCAGTTACTACAATGGTTGCCTACTGCGGTCACTGAGGACATCTTATTTTCGAAACATTGTCTGATTTGGGTAATAGCTGCGGTCCGTGTGGTCTCCCAGTAGTGACAATACCGAGGGGCAGGATGCGGATAGTGATAGAAGTGGATGTGAGTGCGGAGGAGATTCCTCTCGCGACGCATCTTTTTAGCTCCCTCAGGTGAGTGATGCCACGTGTCAGCGCAAGCATCCACTACGTGGCAGGCGCTAGCCACCACCCAGTTGCACCAAAACATTTGGCACCTCAAACGCGCGCTTGTCCCCATTTCCGCCCGGCCGCCTTCCCCCGCGCTGGCTTGGCGCGCAGTGGCATGCCGAGAACTACGCCTCCGCTTACCATATCTGCGTCCCCTTCCCCCCCTGACACCCCCTTCCCGGCGCCCGCCCTGGCCAGGGCGATCGCGGACGATGTGCGCGCGCGCAATTTGCGCCCCGTGTTCGAGGCGCTGATTTCGCGCCTGCGCGACCCCGCGGAACTTGATTCGGTTGCGCGGGACGTGCGCACGCTGCTGGGGGAAGGGGAGAAAGGGGGCGCGGGGGGGAGTGGAGGCGGGAGCAAGAGCGGAAGCGGAAACGGGGAGGAGAAAGAAGGCGCAGCGGATGGGGCGAAGGCCAATGAGGTTCGTGTTCCGTGCTTGTGATTGTGATTGCAACGGGGGGCATCGATCGGATTCCTCATGCATTTGTGTGTCTTCCCCATTTCCTCCTGACTCCTAACCCACTACCCACTACGCATTACCCATTACCCATCCTGCAATCCCACCTGCACCAGTTGGTGATGTCTTCATGGCGTCATTACATGTTTTGATGTTTCAATGCAAAACCTTAAACCCTGCCTGTTAAAATCCGAAACCCTGCCTGTCTGGTTACCACCACAGGACCCCTTGAATGCATTCGTGGCAGCATTCCTCCACGTGGTGTTTGAAACGGACTTGCTCGCTCAGAAGATCAGCGTCGTTCCTTTTATGCGCCTCGTGCCAAGGTGAGTGCGCTTCGTGAGTGAGTGAGGGGCTATTTTCTCTCCTGCAAGAGTACCAGACAGCCAGTACATGCCTGCTTGCCTGCTTGCCTGCCTGCATGCCCCATGCTCTGCTCGTTCAGAAGATCAGCGTCGTTCCTTTCATGCGCCTCGTGCCAAGGTGAGTGTGAGAGTGCATTGCATGGCACCAGTACATGCCTGCTTGCCTGCCTGCCTGCCCCATGCTCTGCTCGCTCAGACGATCAGTGTCGTGCCCTGCACTTCATGCGCCTCGTACCACGGTGAGTGAGGAAGTGAGTGAGGGGCTACTCTATCTCCTATTGGATTACCAGTCCCTGCCCCATGCTCTGCGCGCTCAGAAGATCAGTGCGCTTCATGCGCCTCGTGCCACGGTGAGTGAGGAAGTGAGGGCCTTGTCTCTTTCCCACCAGACAACCAGTCACCAGTACGTGCCTGCGTATGCGGCTGGCAGGATTTTCTATCGTGTGTTGCCGTGCTTCATTGCCCTTCTGCGTTCCCCTGTGTGTGGCTGGCAGGTTACCAGACGCGGCAAAGGTCAAGATGAGAGACACGCTTATCCCCAAGGTAGGTTCTGGTGGGTGCTGGTGGGTGCTGTACACTGCAGAGTGTAGACAGTACAGAGTGCATACATACACACACGTGTGTTGCCGGCACGTTACCCGACGCGGCAAAGGTCAAGATGAGAGACACGCTTATTCCCAAGGTACATGCTGGTGGGCTCTGTCCCATTTCCCACCATGTCATGCTCCCAAGGTACGTGGTGATGGTGGGCTCTGTCCAATCTTCCACCATGTCATGCTCCCAGCCACCATGTCATGCTCCCAGCCAGCAGCTATATCTGTGCGACTTTTTAAAAAATCTCAAAAGTGTCATCTTATTTATGTTGCCAGCAAGCAACTCACATAAAAAATCCTCTTGTTCCGACCATGAACCGTGGACCACGGTCCCTGAACCTTAGCCTAAATCCTCTTCTTGGTCTGCCACTCAATCTGCAGATTCTCAAGTTCCTGACGATCAAGCGGCCGCCCGATGCCAGCCGGGCGGAGTTTTTTGTCCATGCTGAGGCGTTTGCCGCCCTCGTGCACCTCGAGTTTGTCTCCATTCAGGGTGAGCTGGCATTGAGGGTGAGCTGGCATTCGGGTGAGCTGGCATTCGGGGTGAGCGGGCGTGATTGTGGAGGGAATAGTATGCCATCGCATCACGCATGCCATCACGCATGCCATCACGTATGCCTTGCAACCCCACCAGGCGCCGGAACCATCATCCTCACCTTGCTGCGCAAGCCTGACAACCGTTGCGCTGCAAGCAACCTGAGGCGCCTCAAGACCCAGCCAGTCCCAGTCACCCCATTCCCTCTTCCATCCCACCATCCCACCACATACACAACTTCCTCCAGGTGCCGTCACCACCATCCTCACGTTGCTACGCAAGCCAGACAACCGCTGTGCTGCAAGCAGCCTGAGGCGCCTCAAGGCCCAGCCATTCCCAGTCACCTAAATTGTACCTTATTTTCCTCACACCACATGCCATCACGTGTGTATGCAACCTTAAGACTCCTTGCTTCCCACCCACCATCCCATCCCACCACATATGCAACCCCACCAGGCGCCGTCACCACCATCCTCACCTTGCTGCGCAAGCCGGACAACCGTTGTGCTGCAGTGACCATGCTGGGGAAGACTGTCGAGCTCTGCGCCCCCCAGGTGAGAGCACCCAACCCCATGTGCACGCAGCACAACCATGAGCCACGATGAGTCTGACAAGCCAGACAACCGCTGCGCTGCTGTCACCATGCTGGGGAAGACTGTCGAGCTTTGCGCTCCCCAGGTGAGACCCCCTATGTGGCCCCCAGGTGCAAGCCAAACACCCCATGTGCTCGCAGCACAGCCACACAGCCGTGAGCCGCCATCAGCATCGAGCTTGACAAGCCAGACAACCGCTGTGCTGCAGTGACCATGCTGGGGAGGACCGTTGAGGTTGAGCTCTGCGCCCCACAAGTGAGACTAGCACTCCCTCATCCCATGTGCTTGCAGCAGCAGCCACACAACCACGAGCCCCCGTGTGCAAGCCGGGCTAGCCAGACAATCGCCGTGCTGCCGTCACCATGCTGGGAAAGACCGTGGAGCTCTGCGCCCCGCAGGTGACAACAACAACAACACCCCCTCCCATGAGCTGTCCAGGTGTGCGCTTCCCATCCCATCCCATGTGCTCCTCCTCACGTAAGTGACAGCATGTGCCCCTCAGGTGAGCTCGCTCGCCCCCCGGTGACTCCCCAGGTGCTTCCTTTGTGAGTTCGCATGTGCCTCTCAGGTGAATGAATTTAGGTGACTTTTGAGTCGACTCAAAAGTCACCTCAGGTGAGCTCGCTCGCCCCCCGGTGACTCCCCTTCCCTTGTGAGTTCGCATGTGCCTCTCAGGTGAATGAATTTCCGCATTCTGCTCCTCAGCTCAACCCTGCCGTTTCCTCCCTTCCATGCACACCCGTCCTGTCCATCAATTCCCTTTCAGCTGGTGGCGCAGGGCGACCCAGGCGAGATGGAGGAGTTGAGAGCCCGTTGCAGTGGCGCCCCCTTTTGCTGCTTCCATGCCCACCCGCCCACCCACTCCTCCCTCTCCTTGTACTCAACCCATTCCTCCCCACCCTGTCAGCTCGTGGCTCAGGGCGATCCAGGCAAGATGGAGGAGCTGAGGAAAGCCGTCTTGGGACTCCAGGAGGAGGCATTTCGGTGAGCAGGGAGCGAGGAGGGGGAGTGAGTGATGGGTGAGAAAGGGGGTGGAGGCTAGAGGGTAGGGTGTAAAGGCACTCAAGGAATGGGCAAGATGGAGGAGCTGAGGAAAGCTGTCTTGGGACTCAGAGAAGAGGCTTTCCGGTGAGCAGGGAGCGAGGAGGGGGAGTGAGTGATGGGTGAGAAGCGAGGGAGAAAGAGAGAGGAGGGGGGGCGGGAGGGAGCGGTGTAGTTTGGGAGGAGTTGAGGAAAGCAGTCTTAGGACTCAAGGAGGAGGCCTTCCGGTGAGAAAGCAGGCGAAGGGGTGGTTTGATGGGTGAGAGGCGAGGGGACGAAGGTGAAGAAAGGCGGGGAGAGAAAGGGAGTTGAGAGCAGCAGCAGCCGTGGGGGACTAGAGGAGGAGGCTTTCCGGTGAGAGGGGGGAGGAAAGGAAACGTTGGGGGTGAGAGGGGGTATGGGGTATGGGCTGGGACACTTCTGAGACGTCTCAAATCACAAGACTAATACCGGCAATTGGTCCGCTCTCTTTTTCCCCCACACCTCCCCCCCCTCCACCTCCCATCCGTCCATCCAGCTATGACGTAAATTACGTGAGGGACAGCCTCGGCTGGTCAGACAACCCAATTACCACCTCTCCTGCTCCTGCCGCTACAGCCGCTCCTCCCGCCGTTTCCCCCGCTACAGTCGCTCTTTCTGCTGGTGCTGCCGCTACAGCCGCTCTGGCAGCAGCTGGATCCTCCCCAGCTCCCCTCTCCGCCCCCCTCCCCCCATCTCACACCCCCCTTCCGCCCTCGCAGCCCCCACTCCCCTCGTCTCAGCTCCCCTTTCCCCCGTCTCAGCCCTCCCTGCCCCTAGCCCAGCCTTCCAGACAGTCTCCTATGGCAGTTACCGCCCCTCCTCCCCTCAACCCTCCTGTGCCAACGCATCAGATGCAAACGCAGGGGCTGGGTCAGGTGCAGGGGCAAGGGCAGGGACAGGCAGGTATGAGTGATGTGCAGAGAGCAATGGTAGGAGTAACGACAGCAGGAGGAGTAGGAAAATGTGGGGAACAGCTGATGCAGCCACAACAGCAGCAGCAGCAGTTACAGTTGCAGCTGCTGCAGCAGCAGCAGTTGCTGCAGTCACAGTTGCAAGCAGTGCAGCAGCAAGCACAACAGCAGCAGCAGCAGCAGCCACAGCAGCACCAGCTGCAGCAGCAGCAGCAGATGTTTCAGTTACAGCAGCAGCTGCAGCAGCAGATGCAGCAGGTGCAGCAGCAACTGCAGCAGCTCTCAGCCCCCTCACAGCAACAGCAGCAGCAGCAGCAGCAGCAGCAGCAGCAGCAGCAGCAGCAGCAGCAGCAGCAGCAGCAGCAGCAGCAGCATCCCCCTCTGCCACAGCAGATGTTACAGCAGCAGCACCCAGGGCTAGATCAGCAGCAGCAGCAGCAGCCGCAACCGCCGCAGCAGTTGCAGCAGGTGCAGCAGCAGCTGCAGCAGCAGTTGGCTCAGGCTCGGCAGCAGCTGATGCTTCTCTCCGGTTCCTCCCCTTCCACCTCTACCTCCACACTCCCTGCAGCAGCACCAGCACCACCAGCACCAGGAGCACCATCGCAAGCACCAGCAGCAACAGGAGTGCCACCACCACCACCAGCACTAGCGGCAGCCGCAGGAGGAGGAGGAGGAGGTGGAGAGGTGAAGGGCAGCGGGGCAACGGATCCCATGCAGTCGTCTCCATCTCAATCCACCGGTCCCTCCAACAACCCAAGTATGTTTCATGGTGACTTTTGAGGCGCCTTATCAGTCACTTTAATAGGTCGTCCAAAGATCGGTTGATTGATGCAGTGCAGTGCAGTGCAGTGCAGTGCAGTCCTCTCCTCTCCGTCGCAGTCCACCTCTCCCTCTAGCAACCCAAGTATGTTGTCCTATGAACTCACCTTTGAATGTTGCGTGGAAGCTGGAATTATAATGTGGTATCGGAGGAAAGGTGAGGGGTTCGAATCCTGCTGTTGGCAGGTTGTGCTTTTGAGTCATGTGAGAGAGTGCTTTAGCATGAGCACTGAATTCACCACACCGCGCCATCATATCCGCACGTCCTGACAGCCCTGGTATAAGCACGTCCTGGTGCAGTGCGGTACAGTGCGGTGCATGAGCATGCTCTGACAGTGCTGGTGGCCTTTGGGTAGGTACGAACCAGCTAGGCTAGTAACACCATCACCCATCTCATCCCAACGCCTGCTCCCCGTGTGTGTCTGCCACGCTCTCTCCCATGTTCTTCCTATCACCCATGCTGGTCACTCTCGACTCCCACCACGGGCATCAGCACACCATCCTGGCAGTGGGGGTGGACGGCAGCAGCAGCAGGGCGACAGCAACACTCCACCATTCATCCCTGTTCCCCGTGTGTGTCTCCCTTGTTCTTCCCATCAGCCATGCTGGTCCCACTCGACTCCCACCACGGGCATCAGCACACCATCCTGGCAGTGGGGGTGGATGGCAGCAGCAGGGCGACAGCAGCAACACACCATCCATTCCAACCCCACCGCCTGCCTCCCCTGTGTTTGTCCCCCATACTCACAGCCATGCTGGTCCCGGTCGACTCCTATCACGGCCATCAGCACACCATCCTGGCAGTGGGGGTGGATGGCAACAGTGGAGCGACATGGAGTGCGGCGATGGACGGCAGTCTCATCATGTGGGGGGGCGACGGCAAGGTGGGGAGCGGTGGGGTAAGGTGAGTGAAGTTGGGGCAAGGTATGCATGGGGATGGCAGTGGGGGTGGACGGCAGCAGTGGGGCGACCTGGAGTGCAGCGATGGACGGCAGCCTCATCATGTGGGGCGGTGATGGCAAGGTGGGTGTGGGGATGGGGTAAGGAAAGGTGTGTAAAGGGATGTTTTTGAACTTGTGTTGTGATGGCAGTGGGGGTGGATGGCAACAGTGGGGCGACCGGGAGTGCGGCCATGGACGGCAGTCTCATCATGTGGGGTGGTGATGGCATTGTGGTGGAAGGTTGTGCGGTCTCAAGGGAGGAAAGGCACTCCCAGGTGGATGGCAGTCTCTTCATGTGGGTGGGGGGCTGATGGCAAGTTGTGTCTATGGTTGTGTTGTGGATGGCAAGTATCCATAACACAACCATAGACACAACTTGATGAGACTGAAAGGCATGGTTTCAGTTTCATCATGAGTGCCCCCCACATCATGTTGTGGCAAGTATCCAGAAATCATGTCTTCCATTGACCTCTTACACTCAACCTCCTCCCTGCTTGGTGCTTATCCCCCGAAACGCGAAACCCTTCTTTCCTCCTCCACCCCTCCCTTGGAAACAGCCCCTCCAGTCTCTCCTGCTCGGTTCACACTACGTGTGTGGCATGGACCTACTATACTTGCTTGCTTGCCTTTCTGTCCCTCTCTCCTCTCCTCTCCTCCCCTCTTTCCCTTCTCCCCCCAACTCAATGCAGCCCCTCCAGTCTCTCCTGCTTGGCTCACACTACGTCTGTGGCATGAACCTCCTATACTCGCCCTCCTCCCTGCATGCTCCTTGTCACCCTTTCCCCGTCTGTCTCTCTGCATCTCTTCCCTTCTTCCGCCTCCGCTTCCCCGCACTCCCTACAGCCCCGTCAGTCCCTTCTCTTGGGTTCACACTACGTGTGTGGCATGGACCTCCTATACTCGCCCTCCTCCCTGCTCCTTGCAGCTGCACCTAGAGTGAGTCACTCTTTCCTCGTTCCCCTTCTTCTTTTCACCGGCTCCTGTATTCTTCCCGTGTAATCAGACTCTCACTTACGTTCTGATCCAAACCTGTTTGGATATTTAGATATTGTCCTTTCTACCCTGATTCAATAGCAAGATCTTCCCGTTTCAAACCAGTTCCTCCTTCCCTTTCCTCCTCTCTCCCATTGCCCTGCTGCCATCAGGACCACATGAGCGAGGGTCAACCAGCCGCCAACCCCATTGCCCTACCTGTCCAAGCCTGTTCCTGCTTCCCTCCTCTCGCCCCCTCCCCTCCTCTCGCCCCCTCCCCTCCCCTGCTGCCATCAGGACGACATGAGCGAGGGTCAACCAGCCGCCAACCCCGTTGCGCCTTGCATCCTGCAACTCACAGGGGACGAGGGGGCGGGGGGAGGGGGGGCGGGAGGGGGAGGGGGAGCGGGAGGGGGAGGGTGGCAAGTGACGGGGCGGCTTGATCGCAACCAGACGAGTGTGATATCATGTATCAAGGTGGGCTTGTAACGAGGTGTGCGCGCATCAAGGTGGGTGGGATGAGGCTGTTCATTGTAGCAGTTAAATTGTAGCAACATCTGATCAAGCATGGCATCATCTGATGAAGCATGGCATCATCTGATCAAGCGTGGCATCATCTGATCAAGCATGGCATCATCTAATAAGCCATGATCTGGATCAAATATGTTTACATCCCATCCCATCTGCCCCTCCACCTAAGTTCATGTAATCCAATCCGCATCCATACCTACACCCTTTTAAAACGTCTCAAAAGTTCATCCAATCCACATCCCTACTCGCATCCATACTTACACCCTTTCTCGTTCCCGCATCCCCACCACCGGCTATTGGCCCGCGCCCATCACAGCCAAGAGTCTACTCCTTTTCCTTTATCTCTTCATACTCTTCATATCTCTTCACCTCTCTTCATTTCTCTTCACCTCTCTCTACCCTCACCAGGCCACCGGCTCTCCTCGTTCCCTCCCTCCCTCCTCTCTCTCTGAATCTCCCTTCATCTCTCTGCATCTCTTTGGATTTCTCCACACACCACTCACCAGGCCATCGGCGTTCACCCGGACATGGCATTCATCACAGCCGAGAGCATGGCTGCATCCGACGGCTCTCCTGCCTCCCCCCGCGACCGCATCTGCTGCTACGACCTTACAGGGGCGCCATTCTCCAGCCTGCACCCCGTCAGGCAATACACAGAGCACGAGGTGTGTGCAAGAGAGCTACTCTTCTGTGTATGGCCTTCCTCGCTTGCATCTTCCTTCCCTCTCCTGCCTCCTCTCGTGACCGCATCTGCTGCTACAAACAGGCAGGGGCGCCATTCTCCAGCCTGCACCCCGTACGGCAATACACGGAGCACGAGGTGAGACTGAAGCGAGCATCAGTCTTTTCCGTCCGCACGCGGCTAGACAATACACGTTTGGGCTCGAGGTGGGTGCAAGAAAGCTGTCGCGCGACCGCATCTGCTGCTACAACCTGGCAGGGGCGCCCTTCTCCAGCCTGCACCCCGTCAGACAGTACGCGGAGCACGAGGTGCGGGGGCTTAGAGGGCTGGGCAGGTTAGATGTGAATGCCATTGGGTCTGAGCGGATGGGTAGGTGAATGAGAGGTAGGGGCAACATTCTCCAGCCTGCACCCCGTCAGACAGTACACAGAGCACAAGATGAGAGTGAAGGGGGTGCATGCATCCCGTCATTCCCTCCCCGCCCATCACAAAACGTATCACCTGTATCACAGTTTCCCCCCCCAATCATCGCCTCTCATTTCTCACGACACTTGAAACACCAATTGTACTGAAAGTTTTAGCAGACAGGTGTCGTTTCCTCGCCTTTACCTCCCCCTCTCCTCCTCTCCACCAACTACCCCTCCGCCCATCACAGGACCTCATCACGTGTCTCACAGTCTTCCCCCCCAACCCCAACCTCTTCCCCTCCGCATTTCTAATATCAACCCCACTACGGAAACCAACCCCCCTTGACCTCGTTTCCCTTCCTTCCCCGCTTTGCCCATCCCAGGACCTCATCACGTGTCTGACAGTCTTCCCCCCCAACCCCAACCTCTTCGTCTCTGCCTCCCGGGACGCCACCATTCGCCTCTGGGACCGCCGCACTTCCACCGCTGTCGGTGCATGCCACTGACTAACCTATGTTACAAAAGTTGTCACACTTATTCAAACATCAGTCACGCTTATCTAACCACTAGTCGCACCTCTCTAAACACTATCAGATGGCGAGTAGATTCATGGCACCAAAATGGCGCTAGCTCACCACCATTTTCTCGTTCCATGATCCCATTCCTCTTCTCGTTCCATGATCCCATTCCTCTTCTCGTTCCATGATCCCATTCCTCTTCTCGTTCCATGATCCCATTCCTCTTCTCGTTCCATGATCCCATTCCTCTTCTCGTTCCATGATCCCATTCCTCTTCTCGTTCCATGATCCCATTCCTCTTCTCGTTCCATGATCCCATTCCTCTTCTCGTTCCATGATCCCATTCCTCTTCTCGTTCCATGATCCCATTCCTCTTCTCGTTCCATGATCCCATTCCTCTTCTCGTTCCATGATCCCATTCCTCTTCTCGTTCCATGATCCCATTCCTCTTCTCGTTCCATGATCCCATTCCTCTTCTCGTTCCATGATCCCATTCCTCTTCTCGTTCCATGATCCCATTCCTCTTCTCGTTCCATGATCCCATTCCTCTTCTCGTTCCATGATCCCATTCCTCTTCTCGTTCCATGATCCCATTCCTCTTCTCGTTCCATGATCCCATTCCTCTTCTCGTTCCATGATCCCATTCCTCTTCTCGTTCCATGATCCCATTCCTCTTCTCGTTCCATGATCCCATTCCTCTTCTCGTTCCATGATCCCATTCCTCTTCTCGTTCCATGATCCCATTCCTCTTCTCGTTCCATGATCCCATTCCTCTTCTCGTTCCATGATCCCATTCCTCTTCTCGTTCCATGATCCCATTCCTCTTCTCGTTCCATGATCCCATTCCTCTTCTCGTTCCATGATCCCATTCCTCTTCTCGTTCCATGATCCCATTCCTCTTCTCGTTCCATGATCCCATTCCTCTTCTCGTTCCATGATCCCATTCCTCTTCTCGTTCCATGATCCCATTCCTCTTCTCGTTCCATGATCCCATTCCTCTTCTCGTTCCATGATCCCATTCCTCTTCTCGTTCCATGATCCCATTCCTCTTCTCGTTCCATGATCCCATTCCTCTTCTCGTTCCATGATCCCATTCCTCTTCTCGTTCCATGATCCCATTCCTCTTCTCGTTCCATGATCCCATTCCTCTTCTCGTTCCATGATCCCATTCCTCTTCTCGTTCCATGATCCCATTCCTCTTCTCGTTCCATGATCCCATTCCTCTTCTCCCCACTTCCCCCCCTGCTCTCCCCACCCATGCTCCTTCCCCCCCCACCCCAGCTCTCCTTGGCTCCCCCTCCCCCTCGGGTCGCCCCCAGGCGCATGCGGGCATGGTAACTGCATTGGATGCATGCCCAGCATCTGTTACAGTGTCATCAGGCGGCATGGACGGTTACCTGAAGCTCTATCCTTCCCTGGTCTTTCCCCCCATACTCCCTCCCCTCCCCACCAGCACTACTTGGCTCCCCCTCCTCCTCAGGTCGTCCCCAGGCACATGCGGGCATGGTAACCGCATTGGACGCATGCCCAGCATCTGTTACAGTGGCATCAGGCGGAATGGACGGTTACCTGAAGCTCTGGGACCTGCGCTCCCTGCACTCCCTCGGGAACTCCCCGCCTCTCGGTTCGCTGAACCTGGACGAATCTCCCATTCTCAAGCTGGCCAGTAGCATGCTACCAGGTGTCGTCGCTGTGAGCACTGTGCGGGGGCTGTACTTAGCTGATTTGAGCGGCAGTGTGGGGCCGAGTGGAGGGGGCGGTGCCAGGCTGGCAGGGGGGTTCCAGGATGGCCGGCAGCCCGGGCGGTATCATGATATCAAGTGGGTGCATGGGCGGCGGCTGCTGTTTGCTGGTGGGGATGCAATGCGGGTGGATGTGTATGGGTTGCAATGATGATTAAGGTGGCACGTTGATTAGAAGAGCTGCTGTTATGTTATCAGTGTAGACACAGCATTGAGAGCAAATAGCCAAGAAATGTGAGTTGTAAAAAACTTCTTAGAGAACTGTAACATCCTACCTGAGACTAATAAAACGTACTTGTCTTAGCTCATGATGAGTGTACGTACTCCACATCCGAGGTTGTGCTTAGCAAGATCATCATAGATTTCTTCTAGCATGAGAAGTTCATAAGATATACCGTAACACACTGTACGACTCTAGAGCAATGTTAGCTTTCCATATCTTGACAAACCTCATATAAATCACATGTTAGCATCAGCATGGTACACCAGTTCCTGGTTGTGGCACGCTGAATAATTCAACAAACGCCTTGATTCCTACAAAATTGGGGGAGTTACTGCTGAGCTGCTGTAACACCTGCACATGAAAAGCTGGTCCCATGTGACGAGAGGAGCTGTACACTGAAAATGAGAAGACGGGCTCAACCAGGAAGGGAAAATCTGGATGGCCCCGCCCCAAAATTGGTTGACCTAGACCGATTTAGCTAAGGAAGACTCTTACTGCTGCTGAATCTCCTTAGCAATCCGGTCAAGCTCGGTCAAAATCTCGCTGAACTCTGGTCTCTCCTTGGGGGTCTTGTCCCAGCACCGTTCAATCAGCGAGCGAAGCGATTTGGGTAGCGATTCCGGAATAGTCGGACGAGCTCCGTTGAGAGCAACAGCCACAGCAGCTTGTAGCGGGGAATAATCAGCAAACGGCACTCCCCCTGCTAAAACTTCCCACAGAACGATTCCGAAGCTGTAGACGTCGGCTTTATGGGTGACCGGCCATGGACTCGTGCCAAAGGCTTCAGGAGCCATCCATCTGTAGGTTCCGACTTCCTTGGTCATCTCCCCTCGCTCTCCTTTTAGTCTAGCCACGCCAAAATCTCCCACCACGGCGTGACCCTCCTTATCTAAGAGAATATTAGCCGATTTCAAGTCGCGGTGGATCATTCCGTTCTTGTGAAGAAACGCCATGGCTTGTGCGACGTCGCGCGCGACGCTCACTGCGTCGTTGAGTGGCAAACTCTTGCCCTGGAGTCGCCTAAGCAGGTCGTTCAGAGTCCCTCCCTCCATGAACTTTGTAACAATGCAGATCCGTTGCCGAAAGTCGATGCAGACACCCAGAAACTTCAGAAGCTGCGGACACTGGCCGCACGACATTAGGGTTACCACCTCCCGGCGAAACTCCGCGACGTTCGCGTACGGGTCTTTACCTTCCCCTTTCAGCACTTTAACAGCGACCGTTTCTCCGTCGTACGTCCCCTTCCTGACTTCGCCTGACGCTCCAACAGCAATCACCGGTCCCATTGACAACCGAAGCGGATCAAGGATGAAATTACCAAGCTTCTTCTTCATCGCTCCCTTCTCGCACAGCAGCACTTCCAACAAGTCCTTCCCGGGCTGCGAGCCCTGCTTGGAAGTGAAGCTCGGAGAAGGTGACGAAGGGACAGAGCCCAAATTGGACCTCTGACTGTTGTCTCCTTCGCCGAAGCTGCTGTGTCTCGGACTCGCCTTGCTAATGAAATTGGACAGGGTTTCCTGAATCCCAAGGCCTTTGGGAGGTCTTTTAATAGCCGACGCAAGAACATCCTCAATCTGCTTCTTGGAGACGTGAGAAAGAATGTAAAAATGGCCGAAAGTTGCACCCGCGGTTGTGTCATACGTGTAAATTCCAAAAACTCGGATGCCAGATCTGTGAAATGTCGAGGAGATGTTGCTGCGACAGACATGGGTGCTGCATGCGAATGTGACCTCGGTCCGGCTGGACGATAAGGAATCCTCGAGGCAAGACGAGAGCGAAATACCGCCGGCTGATGAGAAGGAGTCGTCCGTTTCACTCTCGTCCTCCATGAAAGCATCAAGCTCGCCGTTGTTCACGTCCAATCGGATCGCCGGTATCCCCTCCTTCAGGCCTGATGCTTCTTTAAGCAGAGCCATGTGGCTCCTCACTGCGTCGGAAGAGTAACCCATGGCTGCGTACCTGCCAGAAACGAACACAGGGAAAGATGGAAAGGCATGCTGATTAGCAGGGAATCAACGAAAGCACAAACGCCTAAAGAGTGATGACGTAAACAACAACAGATCGTGGATTGTGGGAGCATCTCTGTACCCTAAGACGTACCGAGGGGGAAGGGCCTTGAAGTGAATCCTCAGCTGCTCTTCATCGTCTTTGCTCCAACGACCGCCGCTCAGAACCTCGTTGGTCGCTGTCTCCACGTTCCCTTCCGGCATCTCTAAACCACGAGGAGATGAAGGAGTTGCAGCTGACTTCTTGAACAACCGCGAGATCGTTAAAGCGAGAGGGTAGCTCTTCTTCTTCGTTGGTGGCGGCATTGTACTCCTAGGAGAGTCTTTAGGACTGGTCTTAATAATTCCCTGATCTTCGTTTTGTGCCAACTTGGAACATGTTGGGCAATTACTACCAATCCAGGAGGCCTTGTGGGACGGAGACGGCGAAAAGAGTAAAGGAGACATGCCGACCATGATTCTAGATAGAAACGCAACCACGTGGTATTATCGCCTGATGGATTTTTTAGGCACGTGAAATGGTTCTTCTGACTGCCGAAAGGGCGTTGAGCCTAACGACAGACACATCTGGTCGTAAGAAAAAAACACCTCTTAGAAAACGGAATTGCCAGACCGCCTTTCTAGGGTCGCTTAGTGAGGGAGGAAATTAGGAAAATGAGGTGGCATAATTGGAATGGGGTGGGGTAGGAAGGAAGGATCAAGGGAAGTCGAAGGTGAAGTTGGCTCTCTCCAAGGCAACTTGCCGTCACAAGTCCGAGGAGTCGAGCTGTCGAGGAGTCGGAAATCTTAGATTCTCTGGGAGACTTGTTAGGATAGTGGCTTGTGCCTGTAACGAAACAGGGTTTCAGCAGGACGAGAGCTTGTGCGACAGGTGAGAGTGACTGGCTGGACAATGGGTGAGTGGATTGGGCTGGGTGACAATGGGGGGCTGGCGCACGCGTTAGGGGGGTTGGAAAGAGCCCACCCAACTGACCTGATGCGGAACTTCAGATGGTGGGTCTGAGGGGAGAGGGGGGGGGGGGGGGCGGGGGAGAGAGAGGGATAGAGGGAAAGGGGGGGGGAAGAAAGGGGGGAGGGGAGGGAACATCTGAGCTTGGGAAAACGCGTTTGTGAGTGAAGGCGGAGAGGTTGCGTGAAGAAAAGGCCTGGAATAACCGACACGAACATTGCTGTGAAACGAATGCAAGCACATGGGTGACTGTCTAGCTAGGGTTTTGGTGGATCGCTTGCTGTTCTTCTTTCCCCACTTGTTCCTTCGGCCACCAAAACGCCATTGTGGATGAAAAGCGCATGACAATCGCGAAGAGCCACATAGCACGTGCAAGCCAGCATGGCCAACGGAGGACCACACCAGAGGTTGCGACTGCCACGCTGGATGGTTCAGGTACCCATGTCAGCTTCGTGAGGTTCACATCAGCGAGGCCTTTCGACTCCCGCTAGAGGCGTGATTCGTGGATTATCTGGTTTGCGCCAGGTCACGAAAGGAATAAGCGCGTCAAGTTGTCCAACTAGCTACGTCACATGGGCTGGCGAAACGCGCGAACAGGTCAGCGGCAGGGGTTTGCTCAGGAAATCCAACCAAAGGTTGGTGCGAATGATTCCTTTCAACCAGGCCATGTTGTTTGCCGTGACGTGATCATCGAGAATGAAATCTAGGGATCGTGTTGGCATCATGATTTATTGCACAACAATTTCATAATTCATTGGCGCGCACGTGGATCCCTAATCTAAGGTGAAATATGTCAAGCTGCCGTCATCGTATTCGTTCCAGATCTGACCACGTGTATTAGGCGATAAGAGTGCACGTGGTGCTGACAACCAAACTCTAACTTCGACCCGCCACCACCTACACACGATGCCCGTTTGACTAACCCAAGGTCGCCTTACTAAGAGGGCTCTTAAGTGATTCTTGCATTTCGCTAAGCTTTCGTCAATTCGCACTTAGCAAAAAGGGCTTTTAATAGATTTTGTAACTCGCTGTTGACCGTTTGACATGGGTCTCTTCTGTCAAACTTTGGTTTTTGTGGTTCGTATTGCTCGAGGTGCTTATAAATGGGGTGCAACTGGCTGGTACCCTAATACACGGGTGCAGAGTTTCCATCGCGGGCAGAGCAAATTTGCGTGCAGGGGTTGGGCATCTTGTGTACAATCTAGGAATCTCCGGTAATAGTTTTCGTCGTAAATGTTATAGCTGGTGATTATAATCTCAAATGTGTTGATTTACTCTAGCATTTTGATATTGAGCCAAAATTGACAACAATCCCATGCAATTGTCAGTGAATTCCGGAGGACAAGCTTGTAGCTTAAAAAATATATGTAATCAGCCAGCTTGCCTTTGGTATTTGCCAGCTAGGAGTAGAAATTTTGAATTGATGAGGACTACATTTCTAACCCTATCTTTTTATACTATCAAGATGAAGACTGTAGAATCTTCAGGGTACATTCCGCTGTGGAATGTGTCCCAATCGATGTGTCCCAATCACTATTTTGCCGAGTCGCGCTCAAATTTCTCGATTCTGCATGTCCCAATCGAT